TTCCGTTGAGAGGCTGAGAGAGAGAGAGAGAGAGAGAGAGAGAGAGAGAGAGAGAGAGAGAGAGAGAGAGAGAGAGAGAGAGAGAGAGAGAGAGAGAGAGAAGAAGAAGAAGAAGAAGAAGAAGAAGAAGAAGAAGAAGAAGAAGAAGAAGAGGTGAAGGCAAAGGAGGAAAGACTAGAGAAGGCAGGAGGGCACTTACGGCACGCACGGCTGGGTCAGGGTCACCAAGAGACTCGAGAAGGGTCTGCAAGAGGGTCGCACGACAGGCACTGTTGGGGTCTAGATAGAGAACGCGGTAGCCTTGCAGAGCGACGGCAGCTGCAATGGAATGACAGAGTTGCGTTTTTCCACTGGCTGAACACCCGTAAAGCTCGGTCAGTGTCTGGCTCTTGATCCCTGGCTGCAAAAGTGCATCAAGTCTATGACATTGGATGGTGAATGGAATGACGCGTCGGGACAGGTTGCCATTCGACACAAGCGATGCATTTGCGCTTGTACATACGCTTCCAAGCCGGTCGTGTACGTCGGGGCGTTGGTCGTGCATAGGTCGTGAACCGAGGCAGAACTGGGGGTGATGGTTGGCAAAATCTGGTCCAGCAGCTGCTACAACGGGCAGGCATGCGTGCGAGGTCGAATCAACGGGCCTGGCATCACAGAGCGTTGGATCAAATGCTTGCAGATTCCCTCTCGCATACTTGGGCGGTACTGTCAATTTCGGCGAGCTGCGTTTCGTCAGCAAGCAAGAGCTGCTCAACTATGAATCCACCAAACCCAAAAGAGGAAACGACCAATGACTTTGCGCACAGATGCCAAAGACCTCCGAGAGGGAGAAGGAAGGAGTAGGGCGCAGTTGGTGTGCAACGAACCGCTAAAAATATTACGAGCTTGCAGCTCTTGCAGAACCGGTGCCGAGAGCGCTGGCACGAGGCCAACACGTAGCCGCATCTTCGCGTGTGGGAGCCGAGCGGTAGTGACCCGGCCTTCCTGGTGCTGATGTTCACGTCAATCTACTTAGCCAGGCATGCCGTCAAAGTGTCGGATCACTCGATCCAAGAACTGTATCAAAAAAAAAAAAAAAAAAAAAAACGGTTTCAAGCTGTTCATTCTCTCTCCTCGAATGTCAAAAAAAAAAAAGCGGCTTGTCAGACAATCGGCCAAATTGTCATCAATTCGAGAGAGAGAGAGAACTGTGATGAGACTTGGCGCGCGTTTTTTTTGCTTGTCTGTTGGCTTTGGAGGGTGAGTAAGTGGGCAGGTGCAGTGGTGTGCGTGCGGGGCGCTGTGGCGGGCGCTGTGGCGGAGGCTGATGGATGCGTATGGGCTGATGTGGTTGGTAGGGTCTACGTCTGCAGCAAATATCGTTCTTAAAGTGAGTGTCTCGGCAAGGATGGCGACGGCCAAAGGGTTGCAGCAGGAACGCTGCGTGCGGTTGGTGCACCAGTTTTTGCGGGAGAATGGCTTTAGCATGGCGGCTCTAGCTCTGGAGGAGGAGGATCGAGGCCGGGGGTTGGGCTTGCAGCTGGCTGAGGCGGCGGCCGCCGAAAACGTGGTTCCGGGGCAGCTGCTGCGGATTTTGGATGAGCACGCCGAGCTGACGCGCGAGCAGGCCGACCCCGACGCCCTGGCTGGCGAAATGGAAGCTCTGCTGCAGCTTCCAGAGACCAAATGGTCCGAGCTCTACGATCTTCAGACGCTGCGTGTAAGAGATCCTCGTCACATCGAAGCGGAGTTGGGTCAGGTTGATCTGGTGGAGCAGGCTCTTTTTTTTTTTTTTTTTTTTTTTTTTTTTTTGTGGGCAACAGCAGGTCACATCGCTTCCCATTGGCACATAGGGTCGTCATGTTGGCAACATCATTGCTTTGGCCGTGTGGCGAGGCCAACGGCTTGTCAGCGGTGGTGCTGATCGATCCATCGTCCTGACGGATGTGAGTGCCAGCTTCGTGGGTCTCCATGCCATGCAGGGCTCAAAGGGCGCAGGGCCTTGGTCCCAAGGCGCTGCTTGTGCCTCGTCTTGTTCGACTCAACGTCGGTTTGTCGTTTCTAGTTGAACAAGCCCGAGGGCGCGGACAACCGGTGTGAGTATATGGCTGCCAGTCCCGTCATTAGCCTGGCCGCGCATCCGACCTTGCCATACCTTCTTTTCGGATGTACGTACATCGCAAATGGCATGTTTGCGGGTTGTCTTGAGGTCACGACGGACCGAGGTGTCTCCGTTGGCCTCTTCCTCGCAAGAACCGCGTTCTGTTGAGCAGATAGCAGTACGTGCCACGACATTGACGTCCTTGGTTGGCACGGCCCGGGTCATTTGTAGGTATGGATGGGAGCACGGGTGTGTTGAACGTGGTTACGGGACGTTTTCTGGCGGCGGGACCCAAACACCGCAAATTCGTGGTGCGCCTGGACTGGAATGAAGCGGGAACGCACTTTGTCACCGTGTCACACGACAAGAGCATCGAAGTCTGGCGGTGTGACGCCACTACCACGGCAGCACCCGAGGATGCAGCGGTGCCCACGCTGACGCACGAGCAACGCTTGGACTTTGTGAACCATCCCGAGTGTGCCCGCTTCGTGCGCCTGGCTGAGCGCGAGGGCGAGCAATTGGTAGTGACCGTCCGGGACGATTGCTACCTGCGCTTTTACGACGTGCAGACGTGGACTGTGGCCTCCACCATGAACATGAACTCGTTTGGGGACGAGTTTGTCAGTTTCAACGCCTTGGACTGCTGCGTGGACCCGAGTGGCCGCTACCTGTTGGTGGCCACGGACAAGAATCGTGTGCTTTTGTTTTCCGTGGCGACGCAAAAACAGGTGCGTCACATGAGTACCAGTTTTGTTCTGGCTAGCTTCACTCGTTTCTGCGCTCCGGTGGCTTCATGTGCATCCTGACCCGGGTTCACCTACAGTTGCGCGTCTTTTACGGAGCCAACAACGACGAATACAGCATGCCGCGTTGCAGCTTTGACAGCACGGGCCAGTTTGTCCTGGCCACGTCTCAGGTATACCGCTTCATCTACCCTCTTCGCCTGACGGCCCCGGGACAATTCCTTGCTCATTCTCATGTGGATATGCGGTGCGCGCGTGGCAGACCAACGAGGTGTTGGTCTGGAACTTGCGGTCGGAAGCCCTGGTGCAGCGTTTGAGCGGCCATGAGGCCCAGATTCGGGATATTTTGTGCCTGCCAGAAAACCAGGTGGGTTGGACTCGGCTTGCTCTGGGCAAAAGCGTCTGGCCTTGGCTCCTTTCCATTGATTCTGATGCTGTCGATGTGGCCGTGGCCCGCTGGCTGGGGCTTTATGCAGGGACTCATCACCTGCAGTTACGACAAGACCATCCGTGTGTGGACGCCATAAACACAGCAGCGTCCACCCTCTAAAATTGATGACCGACCACTCCCGATTATCATGAATGTCAGATGAATTGGGTGTTACGACATGGCGTCATGTTATGTCCGCACCTTGTTGCGAAATTACCAACTTTGCTCGATTTTCGCAATCTCATGCGGCCAGGCACTATGTATAGTGTGACCAACACCACACTCATACAAGTTCAAAGTGTGACAAGTGATGGGGGATGGCAAGAACATGTTAGCCAATCACATGGTCTGTGTCTTCAAGACGCACAACCTTGGCTCCCTTTTCCCGCAACGTCCCCCTTTGGATCCCCAAAAGGGGGCTGACGCTCTCTCTCTCTCTCTCTCTCTCTCTCTCTCTCTCTCTCTCTCTCTCTCTCTCTCTCTCTTTGTACGTGCGTAACTGCCTCTCGCTCTCTCTGTGTGACGCACGCGCTCTCTTGCCTCGCTCTGTCTGTCGCTCTCTCTCCTCTCTCGTCTCGCTGCTGATCATTCCCTTCGACTCCCCGCGCGTCTTGGCCGTCTTCATCGCCATCCTTGGCGTTTCCCTCGTCAGCTCCCACTTTGTCCCGCCCCTCTCTCTCTCCGTGTGTGTGTGTGTGTGTCTCTCTTTCTCTCTGCGTCTCTCTCTGTGCGGTCTCAACGCGACTCGAGTGACACCACATCAACGCCAACAAGGACCAGATCAGCCAGCGCACAAGACTGCTCGGTCCTCGCTCGGCCGTTCGCGCCACCCCATACCCATACCTGCCATCCTGTGGGCTGCTGTTTGACTGGTTCGTTCCAAGATCTTGTTCGCGATTTGGATCGCGCTCGCCGCTTGGGTAGCCTCCTGCATCCCTGGGGCGCCTTCTGATTGTCATCATCACCAGGTTGACGGGCTTGTGTCTCATGCACGCGCGCCCGGATCCGCTGCCGCGTTGACCTCCAATCGCACCGTAGGCTCGTGCAGACATTGCCCTCGCTGTTTTCCTTTCCTTGAAGAGCCGGCGGTGTGGTGAGAAACATGAGAAAGGCTTCCCTTTGGCTTCCGTCGTTCTATCCCTCCCCTTGATTCAACAGGGGCATTCTTATCTTGCGCTCCATGTTTGGACCGCCACCGTCGTGCCATGATCGGCATTGACCAGCCAAGCATCCCGCTCCAGCACCCTTGCACCTGTTTTGAAAGTCTGCCTGACATTTGCCGACCGCCTCCCGATTTCACTCTTTCCAGCACACACACACACACACACACACACACACACACACACACTCTCTCTCTCTCTCTCTCTCTCTCTCTCTCTTTCTTCAGACATGATGCACTTGCACTCGACTTGGTGACATTTTCCTGCTGGCGCCGCTCCTCGCCATCGCCCCTAGCTGCTCGCCTTCCTCCCTCGCACATGAGACCTCTGCTCTGCAGGCACATGTCTCAAAGGTCACATCCCTTTCCTCTTCTTGAATCGCAACACACCGTGGGCCCTGATTAGAATGCGCGCGGGCTGGCGCTGACACGCACGTGCGTCTTTCACCTGCAGCCACCCAAATTCCGAGTCGCCGAAGATAATTATTATCCATACTTGCACAACACCAGAGCCATGCTGCGCCTGTTGCACGCTGGCCTCTGCCGGAGCCCAGCCTCGGTCTCCGCCTTGAGGCCGGCGCACACCCTTGTTGGTGTCCGCACCCTCTCACAAGCTGTCCGCGACGTCCGCGCTCAAATGGTACGTCCTCTTTTGTTGGTCAAACACTTAGTCAGGGGCTTGACAGTCGACCCGTCCGCGCTTCGCTCATCTTTGTTGTCTACGCCATTCCTTGTGGTTAGAGTGAAGTGGCTCAGAGCACGCTCAAGTCAACGCAGGTGAGCCTCCCATTCCAGTTCGTTTCCGCCGCTCACGCGTGCCTCGCGCTCACAGCATGGCCAATCTCGCTGCGCGGGGGTTAGCTCAACGTCCTGTTCGAGAGCGCCGATGTCGTGGTAGCAGGGCGTCCTACCGGGGCCCTTGCCATGAATCAATACATGGTTGCTTGCAAGGTGGGTTGGCTGTGCTTCACCGTGTGGAACTGTGTCTGCCAGGCCCGCGCCCGCGCCCGGCACGGCTCACTCATCTTTTTCTCTCAGCACACCAAGCAGGCCTGCTTTATCGATGCCGGCGAGTCGCCCAGCATCTTTGGTCATTGGGCAGCCACCAATGGGTACGTTGCCATGTTCATTACGCCTGGCTAGCCAACGTTGCTAGCATACACACACACGCCGTCGCGTCGTCCAGGCCAAGTCCTGGCCAGCCACCCTGTGTATCTTGACATCGGCTCGCCCTGTTTCCACAGCTTTAGCTTGTCCAAGGTGCTGCTCACGCACGGGCACCCAGACCACGTAGCGGGTCTGCGCGAGACGATTGACACCTTTCCTCGTAAGTAGCCACACAGGCAAACAGACAGACAGACAGACGCACGGGCAGCCAACCAGTCCGACAGACTCGAATGAATACTCACGTGTTCCGGTTTTTTTTTTTTGCTAATCTCAGAGGCCGATGTCTACCTGCACGAAGAGGATCAAGCCACCTTGAGCGAAGCCCCCGAGTTTGGCAAGGTCAGTCACATGGCATGGGCTGGCAGATTTGCTTGTTCTTCAACTTCCTTGCTGTTCCTCAATCAGCTTGGTGTTTGCCCTCGTGCTGCGCTCACATCACTGGGGTTCGCTGCAAACGTTTGTTCCGACAGACATTTGATTTGACCATCTATCCCGTGTATTGGGATGAGGTCCAGTCCATCAGTGATGGCGATGTCTTGCAAGTTGGCAACCTCCGCTTTGAATGTCTTCATACTCCAGGTGAGCCCAAGGGCTTGGGGTTTGCGCCTCGCCCACGCAAATGCGTCAACATTGTGACCCACTGACTCGGTTCTTTCCTTCCCTCCAGGTCACTGCGCGGGTCACGTCTGCTTCTATGAGCGCCAGCACCAGCTGTTCTTTGCCGGCGATACCTTGTTCAAGGATACCGTGGGCCGCACTGGTGCGTATACGCGCATGTCATTTGTTACTGTGGCACAAGTTGCTGGCCATTCACCGTGCCTGCTCGCTCTTTTCTTTTGTCTTGTTGATTGTGCCTTTTGGTCACTCATTGTCCGGGTTGTCACGACATTCATGACGTGCAGACCTGCCCGGTGGCAACCGCGACCAAATGCACCAATCGCTGGTCTACATCATGTCCCAGGAACTGCAGGACAACTGCGTCATTTTCCCCGGTCACATGGCCACCACCACCTTTGGCCGTGAACGGCGCTTCAATCTGTTTCTCAAGCGGCCCATCGCTCAAGCCAAGCGCCTCATTGCTGCCATGGCCTCCCAGCAGGCTCAGGCTCAATGATGGCCCCCGACGTGCCGCGCCTCTTTGTATTTTGGGTGGATTTCTGACCCTCTATCGTAGCCTGATTTGTGAATATCTCTTTGGTCGTCGCATCTTGTTCTATGCCTTTTTGTTGACTTTGCTTTGGTGTCACGGGTCTGCATCAGAGCCTCGCCTGGCAGCAACCTCCTGTTTTTTAGAAGGCGAATATCGTCTAGCGGTGTCTCGTACCTTTCCTTTTGCTGTGCTATCGTGATGTCACATCGTCTTGAGTGTGTGAGCCGTGCTGCTTTGTTGCGCTACTCGCGTTTTCGAGCCGAACACTTTGCAATGCCTCGCTGTGGTGTTAAAAAAAAAACCACTTTCACCCGCTGAGCGGGAGATGGCTTTGAGCTGTAATAATTGATGTTTGGATGTCGCGTCTGTCGTTTGCCGGGTCGACTTTGAGCATCAAGGCCTACCAGCCACACCGCCTCTGCCTTTACGCTGACTCCACCCAGTGCCATGAGATAGTCTCTTCGTCTCTCCGGCTCTTCGTCTCGTCGTCTTGTCATCTCAACCCCGTCACAACAGCACGACCTTTTCTTGCCCAAATCTGCATGCATGCATGTATAAATTCAATGTTGATCAAACTGCAAACTTTATCACACTATCACAGACAAACAAACCACCACGCACGACGCGATGCCGAGTCGTCGGCGGAGCAGTCCTGGGTCGTCGGCGGCCGGTCGTGGAGGCGACTTTGGTGCTTATGCTGTGGTGGTGCGCTTTCGCCAACGACTGGAACTGGGACCTGGGCATAGTCGTGAGCCTGGGGGTAGTGGACGTCAAGCTGCCGCACCAGTGCTGCCTCGATTGCCCGAACTCACGACGATTCCATCCCACTCCAACCTCGACGACGGTTTGGAGCCTGAGAGTGAGGAGGGGGAAGTTGAGACAAACCGCCGCGCCAGCTATCCCGCTGCCGGCACCGGGCGGAACACCAGTGTTAGTGCCCACTCGGATCGTGGCTCTCCCCCACCCGAAGACTACGAGCGGGAACGTCGCCGCAGCCAGGCGTGGCAACGACACACCATCGTTGGAGCACCCGCGGCTCCTGTAAGCACTGCCACCCCGCTTCCCCAACCCTCACGCGCAGAGCGTCAGGTCCGCTCCCTACCTCGGCCCTACGCACGCGCATCCATTGCCTGGGAACACCTGCCCGTCTCGTTTCCCGTCCCCATTCCCGTGGGCGACGTGAGCATCGCCCAGGCCTTGTCCATACTCGCCACCCAGACCACCCCAGCCCCGCAAGCCACGGCGCTTCTCCGTCCCCCAGCTACCGCTTCTGCCTTTGCAAGTCCCTCTCATGCAGCCAGCATCATGTCTCGACCTGCCTCCCCGGCACATGATCTCGTCGCTACCGACCTGGACGCCCAGATCACCCGGGGTCAGGACGTAGTGGCCTTTGATGAGGGCGATGCAGGCAACAGCACCGACTCGACGAGTATGGGTGCTATTGCGGCTACCAGGCACGCCAACCGTCAATCTTCACCGCAACCTCCAGAGACCGCATCCCCAAACTCTCCAACAAGCCCCCAGGATGGCCACACTCGTTCAAATCTGTTCTCTGTCACCTCAGAAGCCGTTTCTCAGCTGACGCTCCCGGTTCACCGCTTTGCCGGTGCCGAGGCTCTTAATCACGGTACAGGGTCGCAGCTGGATTCGGAAACCAGTGAACAGGACGTGATGCGCATTTCGCGAAAAACAGTGGGCCTCATTTCCCCTGACAGGTGCCTTTGTTCCCCGCCCCCCTCCCACTCTCATCAGAGCTCGTTTGCTGGTGTCAATGTATGGCGGACCTTTGAGCTTGATCTCATCTTTCCACTCTGCCTGACTAACGTGGCGTGTTTACAGAGCCTTGGAAATGGAATCGATCGATTCTCCCGCAGCGCACTCGCCTCGACCCCTCGAGCCCTCAGCCCGCCCCAGCGCTGACGGTGAAGACATGCTTCGGGCATCAGGCTTTCATCCCGCCATTGCCCAGGTACACTTATCCTGACCAATTCGCCAAGACGAGCTGCCATCACCTCCACCCTCACGCCTCCCATCTTGTGCGTGGCATGCCTTGAACAGGATGTGAAAAATGTGTCCTTCATCCACGCCGTACTCGAGGTCACGCAGCACGTGCAAGACTCTGGCAATCAAGCTGTATCCGCCAAACTGTGCGTTGGTGGCTTGGAGTGGAGGCTGGGCTCACCATGGTCTTTGATGCTCGTTCCAGCAACTCACCTTGATTGCGTCTTGTTCAAACTGGCGAATCATCAGGGCTTGCGATGCCGACTTGCGGCGCCATGAGCATCAGTCCCACAGCTCAGACCGTTTCTCACGCGCCTTGCCATTCAAGTGTACGCCTCATGATCTTTGCAAAAGCACCCACGTGCTGTTATCCTCCCCCAGACGTTCCGACGGCGTTGATCGTGCCGCGGGGCTGAACCCTCACGTATGTGTGTGTGTGTGTGTGTGTGTGTAATGTTGGTAGTTTCGCGATATCCAGCCCCAGCCCGTGATCGCAGTGCCCGAGCACGCCTTCGCTGGCAACAAGCCATCCGTGGTGTCATTGCAGTTTACAAGTTTGGATGGAATTCGCGTCGCATGGAGCAGCAGGTATGCGGGCTCGACCCATGTGTGGGTTTTGTGCACATCCCTGCGGCCCAACCACATGCTTATGACCTTGATACATGTGCGCACAGGTGATTGTTGATGGGGCCGAGGCCATTGTGGCCGTTGGCATCAACACATGGGGCTGGCTTATTGTCTTCCAAGATGGCAGCATCAATCTATTTCATCCCGTGCAAGGTGTGGTTTTGGCAGGCCACAGAAGAGGCCTCTCTGCCTACTTTGCCTTCTCGCGCTGCTCTTGTGCATCTCGGCCTCTCATAACGCCTTTGTTGCCCCTGCATGTACTCTGATTGGTCACTAGGAATCATCGAGGGCACTCTTCACCTCCGTGGCTTGCCACACGGTGCCGAGCTACAGTGCGGCGCTTTTAATCGTATGTTCGGTTCTCAAGCCAGTGCAATGCAGTAGCTGTGTGCTTGGCTCACAAATATTTCTGGTGATACATGCGTTGTAGAGGCCACCAACCGCCTCGTTGTCGGCACCACTGACAGTCTGCATCGATACGATATCAATTTTCGACATGATCACATTCAGATCAAGCTCGTGGGCTCCATCGGTTCGTGCTTAATGCGCACGGCCTGTTCGTCTTTTTTCCCCTCGCTCCTTCCCTTCGTTTGTCGATCAGTTATCTGCCTTCTGATGCAAAGTGCCTGCACATTTGTATGGTTTGCGGTTGCAGAAATTTCCAGCAAACCGCGCTGCATCACATGGTCTGGAACTCCCGAGGTGTGCGCTTTGGCCACCCAGATATTGGTGGGCTACTACCTGCCAATCATGGATGCTCACCCACATATGCCATGCTCACAGGTGTGCAGCGTTGGATACTCAGAAGGCTTGGCCGATGTTGTCGACCCCGACATGATGCACGCAGACTACAGCGATGCCGTCGTAAGTCAAATGTGTCATTGAGCCACTTCTTCAGCCAAACTGGCCCACAGTCATGCATCCGCTTTATTCTGATTGGTGTCGCTGCCCGTTGGCAGATGTTCTCGTTTCGTGCCCCACATCTCGACGAGGTGGTTGCTGTGGCTGTCGGCGCGCGTTCGCAGCTTCTGGCCACAGGTATTGAGCGTACCACTCCATTCCATGCATAATCAAAGAGACCCAGCCATGATGCAGGCTTATCACCCTCACCTGCATGCTTGGTACAATCTCTAGGTTGCAAGGACAAGCACGCTCGCGTTTTTGATATCGGCCCTCAACCGCGAGGCAGCAGCCGAAGTCGTTTATTGTACTCGACGCCACGTGATCGAGTATACGCCCTGGCCTTTGAGCCCATCGAGTACGTCGAGGAATGCCAGGCCATGCTTGAAGCCCAGTCGTGGGAAAGCTGACCTGCACCATTACTTGGCCATGATGATGGCGCGAGTTCTGGTCACCGCACTCAATTTTTTTTTTTTTTTTTTGTGGTAAACGCTCACCTCTTCGTGTGCGCAGGGAAGAGCTCCTTCTGATCGGTGCTGATGATAACGTAGTCGAGCTGGTGCACCCACGTCAGGGACTTCAAATTTTTCGCGTGACGGTTCACACTGACTACGTGCGCAGCGTCGCCTTCACACCCAGTATGTAGCCTGAGTGACCATCCAAGTTTTTAAATACGGGAGCAGATAGTATAGCTTACTTTCTTTTGGTGATACGCGCTCATCTCATCTACAGGTGGCAATGAGTTTGTTACGGCTTCCAAAAACGGTGAAATTTTTGTTTCCGATACGGCCTCGGGCCAGCAAACGTTCCGTCTGGACATTGATGACGCCCAGCAGATTCAAGCCTTGTACATGGATCCGCGTAGCAACTTTGTGTGTCTTGTCTTGCAAAAACCGACTGGTGCAGGCCCCGTGACATTATCATCATCATCATGTTAAACGCCTCATGCATGGCCGCTGCCTTCTATTTTATAGTTTCTGGCCGGCAGCTTTGAACGCCCTGCCACAGCACCGACTCGGCTGACACTCTTCAATGTCTTGGACTATCGTCGGCCTAAGCGTCGGCAAACGGCTAAGTTTGCCACCAAGGTTAGGATGACGTGTCGGGTTTGGCCATTTGCACTCCAGTCAAAGTCTCACTTTCACGCTTGAATGCTTGGACCTCAGCCCATCATTGATGTCAAGTTTTCCAAACTTTATATTGACGACAATACGCGGCACACCTGCCTACTGGCGTAGGTTCTGAGCCTGTTTTGTCGTTCAAGGTGCTTGCAGCATATTTTCACACGTACCATCTGGTAATTCCTCATCGCTTTCTCTTGTTTCTTCTGACCAACATCAGGCTGGCAAGTTGCGGTACCATCGTGGTGATGGATGTGGATCATGGCTTGATCGTGATGAAGCGCAAGCTAAAACAATCCAACCCCGTGGCTATTATTCCTCATCCCGACGAGCGCCACGTATGAGCTCATTCCACCATTTCGTCTTCAAATACCCAACGGACCTGCTGCTGACATCCCTTGGCTGGTTTGAGGCGAGACTCATTCCTGCATCTGCATCTGCTGCGATGTTTTAGTTGCTGGTCGTGGATCGCAACGGCGATGTGTCATCCGTGGATCCGCAAGCAAATGATTCACACGTGTGGCTCAAGGCCGGCCATGAGGGCCGCGTTTTGAGTGCTATCCTGACTGCTCGTGGTTTGTTTTCAAACGCCTCGATTCAGCCCCAGCAGGACGATTCAGGATCTCGAGTGTGTATGCTCACGTTGCTAAACCGTATACACGCTGAACGCTTTGGTGTAGGGGATTGCTTGGCCTGTTTGTACGACACGCAAGAGCTTGAATTGATACCGCTTGAGTCGCGAGGCAAGACATTGGCTCTCGATCTACCTGAGGAGTGCACATGTGTCGTCGCCTTTACCGTGTCCGGTATGATTGCTCCCTATACCGGGGCCGGTTCCGATTGTTGTGGCGAACAAGGCAGTACTTTGAGTTTTTGCCGCGTGTGTGTTCTTTGGTCACCCGCCATTTTTGCACCTGTCCTCACCATGATCCAACATGCTACCGACTTTTCGATGCGTCACAACGAGTAGGCAAGGATGCAATGGCGTTTGGCACAAAATCCGGCAATGTCTTCATGCTTGACTTGGATCAAAGCAGCGTGCGCTGGGTAGAGCCCTGTCATGAGAAGGAAGTTTTCAACGTCGCAGCATCACGCTGCAACCGCTTGCTTGCGTCAGCGTCTCGTGATAAAACCGTCTGCATCATCAACAGTACTACGGGTAAGGACTTGATTGTTTGGCCAGCTCGTTTCGCAAGTGACCACGGATGAGCTTCTCCAGTATGCGTCAATTGCTTCTATTCACACTTCATGCAACAACAATCAGGTGAGATCTTGTACAATCTGGATGGACATCACCACGACCACATTCGCAGCGTGGCGTTCAACGCCAACAACGACCTTGCTGCCGGTGGCGCCGATGGGTTGATCAGCATCTACTGTATGTTTGCTATTGCTTGCTTCAAGAAACCTGTAATCAAGGCCGTAGTTGCGTTTTGGTGCCTGCCCCGGTCCAATTGCGACAATGCATTCGCGCAGTATTCTCATTCGTTATTGGTTGCTATTGCTGCGCATCCCTGAATACAGCCAGTGAACGCCACTACAGTACTCGGGGTGTCCAAGTTCGACACCGTTATGCTGATGGTGAAATTGGGGCGTACGTAGAGGGCTTTATTCTGCTAGTGCATTGCTTGGGCTGCCGAAATGATCGCTTTGGGCTCTGATCAGACCTGTTGTCTCATTTTTCACCAGGCTGGCTTGGGCGTCTTCCTCGTTGCGCTTTCGAGGGCTGCTCGTCGTGGGTAGCAGTAGCGGAACACTGTCCTTGATGGACTTGAGTTTGATCCGACAAATGGTATGTGCATTGGCACTGCGCTCTCACTTTCATCTACATCTCTGTGAGCTGTGACGGCGTTTCGTTGAAGCACCCGGGTCCCGCCCCATTTTGTTATTTCTTTCCCGTGGCTGACCCGCTGACGCACCTTGATCAACTGGGTGGCATGGAACGTGCAGCCAATGGGCCACGAGGCACAGATGGAACTTCTTGCGGATCGAAAGCAGGGCGGCCTGTATCGCACGATCTCCATGGTTGAGCTTTATCCACTCATTGTCAACACTCGCTCCTACCACGGACGGAGTCTTCTGCACAAAGCAGTGGAGGCCGAGGACATGACTTTGCTTCGCCTTTTACTTGCGGCCAACATTCCATCCCTCTGGCTGGCTTTGGATGATCACGGCGAGGATGTGCTCTCCATTGCGGCCCGAAAGCACAGTTATCCAGCCATCAAAATGGTGCGTGCTTTAGATCAACGTTATGCGGCACGCCACATCAATACCTCACGCCCCTTTTTTTTTTCGGTGTGGGCTCTGGCGCAATCCCTGTTGGGGACCGTTCTTCGATATGCGCGCGCGGTCGACGTGCCTGCGTACGTCCCGTCTGCACAGATTTTTCAAGCGATCATCACTGCCAAGCATCAGCGTCGACTGGCACGCTTGCCCAATCTGCACGATCACGGCTTGCGCAACATCATCATGATTGCGCGCGAGTTTCCAGGCCTTGTGGCTAAATTCTTGCAGGTTTGACCAGCATGGGTGGGCATCAAGTGTTGAGGCACCGTTTGACTATTCTATCAAATTCTGCCTTTGTTGTACCAAAATGTGTTTGTGGGTATCCTTTTGTGCGTGCCTGCGCGTTTCAACTTACGCCTCATCATGGTAATGAGTGCAGGACTTTGGCCTTGACGAAACACTTGACGAGCGCGGCGATGTTCTTGTACTGCACCTTGACTTTGTCACTGAAGCACGTGAGTATTGGGTGGCAGACAGCACTTTGAACGATCTCTTGCCACCCCTTGGGCGGCTCACCACTGTGTTTGCCATGTCTGGACAGCCGACAATCTGATCGTTGGCTCACAGCAGCGGCTCCCACCTCACTCATGGGTCAAGGTACGTCGCTTGCTGGTTTGATCGACCCCAGAGGCTTGCTTGGTCCCAATGGCGCTTGACGTTTCTAAACACCGTTTAGATGAAAAAAGCCAAGCAGATAGTGACGCAGCGTAACAGCATTGGCAGCGCTACTGCCGAACCGCACAGGGAGAGTCGCGCGGGGTCGCGACGCATTCACAGTACCCTGAGCGTCAAATCGCACGAGCTGAAAAATGCCCCGCTCTTTACGGCGGCATATGTTGGGTGCGTCTGTCCTCTACACCGCCATCTGAATTTGGGCCTAGTTGAATGTTGCTTGGCTCGTGGTTGGCGGATGGACAATCAGGGTGCCCTGTCGGTCGCTTTCGTCATCCGTTCGTGTCACCAGCAATCTCACGTCCATGCCATTTGTACGTGCTAATCTTGATAATTTGTATGTTGGGGCCGGGTCGGCCAGGTTTCCCGAAGCTGCGGGCCTGTTGATTCGGCGACCCAGCAAATCAGTCTTTCAGCCATGGCACCGGTCTGATCATGGCGACCGGGATGACGTGCGAGAGAGCCTGCTGCACCACCTCTTGCACTGCCGTGACGCTCGTCTCTTTGGCAACACGATCATGCGCAAGGTGCCGTTGAAGCCGGCTTCCTCCCATCAACTTGTTCCGCTATGCTGGTTGTGCCTTAGGAGACACGGCTTTTAATAGCGCTTATACACGACACCGAAATTCATGCGGACGCGTTCTGTTGACAGGTTTTGGACTTCAAATGGAACAGCTACGCACGGCGCCTCTTCTTTTACGAGCTTCTGCTCTTTATGGTGTACTTGGCTCTCTTTCAAGCGTTTGCTGTTCTGATGTCTGAGCTTCGCCGCGATTATGATCAAGTGTATACAACGCCGCGGGGGATCGCCGCAGGCGCCCTGAGCTTGTTATCATGCATTTTTGCGGGGCGGCAAGCCTTTCGCGAACGTCGTCAAATTGCCGTGGCGGTGCGTGAATGGTCCCTTTGCGCTCATCAAGTGCATTTCCTGTGACTGTATGCGCACACTGCTTACCTTCTACGCCACTTGTCCCTCAAACTGCCGTTTACCTTGGTTCATCTCGGTCAGGACTCGAGTGACGTGCGCAGCTTTCTGCTGGCGTTTTTCACGGATGGCTGGAGCTTGCTTCAGGTGCCTTGCCATTGTTGAAGTGGGGCGGGGAAGGCTTGGCAAGGAGGCTGCCTTCTGTTTGGGTGGTCTCTGGGCTATTTGTGTAATTCACTCACCTCCGTGCTTGTTTCGCGTCCCAGGCGTCGGCGGCATTGTTGACCGTGGTGTCGACGATCCTGTACTTGACCAAATATGAGCGCACACACGACGTGGTTGCCGTGTGTATCTTTTTGCTTTGGATGCAAGTTCTATACTTTTTGCGTGCCTTTGCAGCCACGGGCGCGCTTGTGCGCATCGTCTTTCGCGTCCTTGGGCGTTCCATGCCCTTTCTGTTTCTGCTCCTTTTGGTAAGCGAGTAACGCAACAGGTTTACGGATCGCAGCGGCAAGAATAGCCGCGTCTTGACGGGTATTGCGCACCTACACTCATCTGTCCCTTGCGCTTGTTGGAATCTTGGTAGATGATGGTGGCGGTGACGAGTGCCTCGTATGTCTTTTTCGGCGACGAGGTGGAGCCGCCCGGCGACGGCGACACCATGCAGTTTGACAGCTCCACCAGCTACAGCAACGCCATTCTTAACTCGTACAGCATTTTTGTGCTCAGTGAAATGGAGGTAAAACTGCATCAGCGTGAACAGTGCATTTCGAGACTTGTCTTCAACCTCATTTGTGTGCTCACTTGCCGCGCCCCTGCTGCCCCCCCGCCTGCCCATCAAGCTCTTCTTTGCACAACTTCACGACGCCAGCACCCACAATGATGTTCTCGTCAAACTGTTTTTTCTCGTGGTTTCCGTGCTGATCACCGTTTTTATGCTCAACCTGCTGATTGGCCTGTATGTATCGCATGCCGCCCTGCCTTTACGGCGCATACTATTGGAGATGAGATTGATCAATAGACCTGCCTCTGCACTGAATCCTCACGTTGCGACCCGTCTGCGTTTGCTATAGCATGTCTGAGTACATGGCACAAGTGCACCAGGAGGAGGTTGGTGGGCACTCGCCAAACCTCCCGAGTTCGCCACGAGTGCTTGATGGTGCTTGGCTCATGTTGTTGCTGCTCTTTTGTCGGTTAGGGTGACGCCTACCCCTATGAGTTGGCAACGATTATTGCCGAGTTGGAGCTTTCCATGCCGCAGGAGGTCGTGGCAGGGAACCGCTCCTTTTTCCCTCGCTGGCTGCATAGTCTGGTACCCAAGAATGACGATCATGTGAGTTGTCACGCGAGCACGCAACTTTTCGAAGCGTTGCGACTTTGAGGTCTTGCTCGCTCCCAAAAGCCTTGCGGACTGACAGTGCGATTGTGAATGCAGATGGATGATGGTCGGGGCAATGGAGGCACTGGGGCCATCACCACCGACCGCAATAGTCAAGCCTTGGCTCAGCAAATCAAAACCATGCAAACACAGCAGGCCGAGATGGCTGCCAACCTGCACAAACTCCAGCAGCGTCTCGAGGTAAACAGAATGCATGCGCTTGTCGTGCTGGGCGCCCTTGTGCTTGCATTGACGGAAGTACAGGTCGTGCAAACCAGGACCTTTCTCACTTGTACCTCTTGTTTATTTGTTCCTCTTTTTTTTTTTTTTTTTTTTTTTGCGCACTGATGTTTGTTTCAGGACATGGCCAGCGGAAGTGGACAGGTGAGCAGCCTTGTCGTGTTTCTGTGCCATACCATTCTACCCTCAACGTTGTATCGTAGTTTTGCGCCCCGTCATTGCGGAACTCAGTGGCCGTTCATCTTCCTCACGGGTCTGTTGCTCGCAGGCGGTTTCGAAGCGCCGCGGATCGGCTCGGGCCATCAACTTCTCACGCACTTCGTCACAAGTTTGGCGCCCAGACTTTGGGTAAGTCGTTCATCTCCGTTGAGCTTGGGCCAATGCGAAGCTGTTGCTGATTGCCGTTTTACCGTGATATGCTAGTGGGCGATCAAACCGTCAGTCAATGCTCGACGTCGTCGATGAAATTAGCTATCCTCAAGGGGGGCGAGGAGAGACGTCCCCGAGCCCGCTGCCTTCACATGCTACACGACGTCAAGCGTCTCCTTTGCGACATGAGGAACTAGCTCGCGCGTCTGTCAGCTACTCTCTCAGCGAATCAGTGCCCGTGAACGTGTTCCCTCCATCGCCAACTGAAGCGCGTGGAGCCAACCAGCACTTGAGCGAGTCAGTGGTATAGAAGCAGTGCGGAGCACCACATCAGACTAAACACGCAAGCAGCAGTGGCGAGAATGGCCAGATTGTAAGGTAGAATGAGATTATAGTGTACTAAACGTGATCAGCCCTTGTTCATAACAACAGGAATCCTCTCAAATTGAGAGTGAAAACGAGCTTTTCAAGCACGGGTGCCGCAAAGCGTGTGTTCCATGCATTTAGTGTTTGTGACAGTCGCAACGAGCCCAAATTCAGAAATCAAATTTTTGACATTTTCTGTTTAGAAAAGGGCCCAAGCTCCAAGAAACATGACGAATTAAGTCTTGGGCTTCTTACTGGCTGCCTCACCATCCTCCTTGGCCCACATCTGAGTTGACGTGCAATCGCATAAGAAGTCCGGGCTGGTATGAGCCAACGCCTGTCCTCGTCATCACCACCTGCCATCCCAAGGCTGTAGCAACATACCGCTTGAATCTTCTGCCAATCTCGGTTGAGCTGGCCTTTGTCTGGCCCAGTCTGATTGCGGCGCCTGGACACACGGGTGCAAGATCATGAGCATGGCGAGAGCTGACCGCTGACCAAGGGGCGTGCTGACGTCAGGGGGATTTCTGGCTGCAAACTTACTTGCGTTTCTGCTTGCTAGCATGCTGCAAAGAAAGACACATTGGACAAACGTATGTCAGCCATCATGATTCATTGAACGTAAAGGTGTGATGCAGATGGACCACGGATAACAGAGGGCAACACGGGCCAAAAGCAGGGCAAGATAAGCGGGTGGGGAGTTGGGTAGAAGCAGCGCACCTCAGCCATATATTTGCGATAGGCTTCGTCGCTATCAAACTGAGCCCGTGTTTTCGCTGGTGCCTCATCCTGGGGAGCAAAGCAGGCATATTAATGAGGACAAGACGGGGACGCATTTTTTGCCAACGACGTCTTCCAAATCGTACATCATCTTTTTGTCGCTCATCATCGCTATCACCGCCCGCCATGCCCATGGGAGTATACTGTTTTCAGCAAGAAGTGAGGTAAGCTGAGACAAGAGCACAACTTGTGTTGCACGTCGCATCAAGCAAAAAGTTGCCAAGCGCACCTCATCATAGGCCGTCAGACCGTCTGCACGAATGCGCTGTATGGCGCGCGAATCGATGATGGGGCCATCATCTTCGTCTCCATCCTCCATTTCAGCGAGTAGAGATTGAACGTATGCTTGAGGATTGCTGTATGCTAAAAGATGCCCACAGCCAAGTGACGATGCGACGCTTTGGGGAATTCACAGCTCTTGTTTCTGGGGCCGAGAAACACACCTCGTCGTTGAATCGCATCACGTCGAGCCTGCTCCGGATCTTCTTCTTCTTCAGACTCTTCATCGTCCTGTTCTTCCAGCTCGCCATCCTCTGGTGGCATTTCTGGATAGCCAGACGCATGTTCGTCCGGCAGTTCAGGGTAGCTTGCCCCGGGCATTTCAGGATAGCCTGCACCGGGCATGGAGGGACCAGGCATGGAGGGGCCGGGCATGGTGGGGCCGGGCATGGTGGGACCGGGCATGGTGGGACCAGGCATGGTGGGACCGGGCGCTGGTCCATTTTCCAAATCCTCACTCGGAGGCTTTGTAGGACCTAATGCTGCCGTTCGGCTGGCCTCGCCCTCAAAGCGGGTCACTACTGCTTCTACGTGAAAGAAATAGGGAGGTGAGCGAGCAGTCATGGGCGGTCATGATGAGACCACCCAATTTGTAACGTACCTCGTGAATGATCTCGCTCAGAAGGCGGCAATGACATGTCCACTGGGACATGGCAATGGGGGGTCAGCATAACACCAGAATCATATCAAAAGTTGCTCTTGTCCAGAAACCAAAACAAACAAACAAAACATTCATCAATCAAGTGGAAGGCAACGAAATGAAGATACATACCAACATGCTCTTCTGTGACATGGAACTGCACGCGCCGCTTGCGTTGCTTCAGGCCATCCTCTATCACATTCCACACCATTCGCCAACAGGCAGTTACACAATGCCCAAAACTACGCGTGGGCCAGGCATCGACAATGGGGGGCGGGACGCACTGGTTTCCCGTGGTTTATAGTCGCCAGCATCAGCAAAAATGTCCAACTCGGCATCCTCTTCCTTCTCACGAAGGGGCATGGCTAGCGAGGATTTACGCGGCGGAGCCACACCAGAATCTCCCGTCTCCCCATCACGTGACTCCTCTTCGCCCGACTCGGCCAAACGCTTTTTATCTTTGCGTTTCTGCTTGCGCAAGCGTTTGCCCTCACGGATGTTCTCTACAATTGACACAAGTTTGTTAACCACAATGTCGTGGGTGGCGCTCTGCCGCGTGCCCCAGCAAACAATACAGCAGCATTCCATCATGAGAAGCAGCAAGCAACATGTTGAAGATGGACCAGCTGTGAATGGCGCGTGTGAATCGTACCTTGGTTTTGCGAGCGTACTGCTTGATGTCACTCTTGCTCCGCAAAATGGTTGTGGGGACGTCATCAACAGCAGACACGGCTCGCGGCGCGGCGCGATTGGGCCGCGGGTCTAGCACGTAAGCCATCCGGCCGGGCTCAAAAAACTCATTTGTGGCACGGGGCGCGGCGTGACGGAAAGCGGATTGCAGCACCATTCTGGCTAGACGCGTGCGACACTTGACCTAAAGCCAAAGGCAGGCAAGAACAAGACCGGTGTCGTCAAAGCATTTTCCCCCAAAGAATGCAAATATCAAACTCAGCAGGGGCAGCCGGTTGGCGAAACGAAGGCGAGTCACCTCAAGAGGGTTCTCCTGGATATCATCAGGATTGGTTCCGTCCTCCGCAGCCTCGCCCGTTTGGCTTTGGGTCTTGGCTGCTTCCTCCCGATTCTTTTGTAAGAGAGCATAGTCCAGACCCTTGACCAAGTGCGTATGCTCCATATCACCACCCAGGTATTTAGACTGCTCAATCATGGCCTGCTTGGCATCGACAACTGCCTCACTACCACTGCAAGCCAGCATGGCACCGCATACAAAGTGAGAGCTTGTGTGTGAGAGCAAGCTCTTTGCCCAAACAAACGGCATACGTACGGTGGCCCTGTCGGTAGCGATTGCTCAATGAGACGGTGCAATTGCGTGGCCTGGTCCTCCTGGTCCTCTTGCTTGCGGCGCTCGGCGGCACGGTCGCGGTACTACGATACATACAAGAATGTGCCATGAGCGCCCTTGCCCCATGCGCACAAAACCAGAGGCATACAGGATGGCGCAAGCCGAGATGCTTGGTCATATCGGTCACCATAAATGCTGTAGCATACCTTGGCAGCGAGCTCTGCTTGACGCTTGCGGGTTTCCTCCTCCTCAGCAGAGAGACGGCTAGGATCCCGAGCGTACAGGCGAGTCAGCCATTGTGGGCCCGGGCCGGTTATGGCAAAATGGGAGTCAACTTATACATACACAGCACGTGGCTTCCAGCTCGACTTTTTGGCGGGCTTGGTCTTGTCCGTTGTAGCATCGCCCTTGGAGCTGTCCACGGTCTTGGCCGTCTGTGAAGATGGGGACTCATCCCGATTGGGTCGCGGCGTCATGATCAGCTGGCGAAAATCCTTGTTGGACATGGCTATGCATATCGACGAGCGCAGAGGCACCAGGCATTCAGGCACATGAGGGAGTTGCAACCCAGCGATTTGCGAAGTGACACTTGGGTCGGGCTACGAGCCAATGTGCGATGCGAACCCATGCTGGCGGTCTGAGTGTGGCCCGAAAGCCCAATCGCTCTTCCAAGGGGAGAATGAACAAAAAAAAGGATGCCTATGTGCGTAGAGAGGTTGAATCGTCTTTTTGGCGCCTCGCGATACTAGACGTCCAAGCTCAGCACCAACACGGCAGAAAGGCCCTGGCTTTTGAGGCACCGACTAGCCCCGAGGCACTGGAGACCAAGAAAATAAAAAAAAAAATGAAACGATTGACGCGTGAGCGGAAGTGTAAAAAAGTGCGACAAACAATTTCCATGATTATCTGACATTTGGGGTGTCAGTTGCGTGTGCAGGTGCGGTCCATTGAGCTGATGCAGGATAAAGATGAGAAGATGAAGATGTATGTTGAACTAAACACAATATGCTCATGTTTCCATATGAGTTTATGAATAAACTTAAAGAGTTTATGCACGTGTTTGATCGGCAAGCAGATTTGCGAATGATGGCATCGATCGCACGAATGACTCCGCGCCAGCGCCATCGGCCCTGGCGCTGTGGCTTGCTGGTGCTGGTGCTGCTTGTTGGCAGTGCCCATGCTGGATCACAAACAGGAAATGGCACGGCCAACATCCTCTTCATCTTCACAGACGATCAGGATGAGGTCTTGGGCTCGTACGTTGATAACCAATGCTGTGCTGGTGTGCGACGATCCAGTTTACTGATGTCCTCACGCGTTGGGAGTTCATGTCACGGAATAGGCTCGACGCCATGCCAAAGCTGGATCGTCTTGTGCGTCAACAGGGCATGCGCTTCTTCAACGCCTTTGCTAACACGCCCATCTGTTGCCCCTCGGTCGGTCCGTGTTGCACGACGGACAAGCTCCAGCGTACCTATCACGACGCCTGAACCACTCATGCGGCGTGCTCTTCCGACTTAGCGCGCCGAAGTCACGACAGGGCGCTACATGCACAACACAGGGTGTGTGCCAAATGCTCTGGCAAAGGGGATGCGCTTAGGTTGTGGCCACCTTTCTTGCCTTGTCGTGACTGGGGGTGCCACTGCTGGTTCGTAGAGTAATAGATAACACCTGTGGAGGGACTGATTTTCAGCGTGGACCCGAAAGAATGAACATGGCAGCTTTTCTACGCAACAACAGCCGTCACCAGTCCTACTACAGCGGCAAATACCTCAACAGTACGCTTGGCATGACGTGCTTCTCGCCAACTTCATTTGCACGACTACTGCTGGCAGCTTCTTGACGAGCCCTTGCGCTTTGAATCTCTGGGTCACAATCCAGCCTACGGCGCGCCCAGCGTGGGTGGCGTGGCCCACATCCCGGATGGATGGAAGGAGTGGCATGCTTTGGTGGGCAATAGCAAGTACTACGACTATTCCGTCTCCGACAATGGGCGCCAGCGCAACTTTGGGCAAGACTACGCAACGGGTATGCACAAGGCAGGCAACGCAGGGAGACATGTCAGACTGAGAATGCTGGTCGTGATGAGCGACGCGCAGCCTTCCCTCATTACACATCTGGGCGCACAGACTACTACACGGATGTGCTCAAGAATGAATCGGTGGCATGGCTGACGCACAACTGGACCCAGGATGACCCCTTCTTCATGATGGTCGCCACCCCGTGTCCTCATGTACCCAATGTGGCCGCGCCACAGGCACGTCGGAGGCTTCTGACTATGCACAGACCGGACTGATTCTTGGCAGCTCATGTTGCTTGTCTGACGTGGTGGTCGCATAGTATGCCAACTTGTTCCCCGATATGACGGCACCACGTACACCAAACTGGAACAAAGCGCCCGCGGCTAGTTCGGGACCTGGTGCCAAACACTGGCTCATGCGCCAATTTGGCCCAATGGAGCCTCAGGTGCGTCCAAGCGCAGGCTTGAAATCTCATCCACAGGGCCTCATGGAGGTAGGCTCGATGTGGAGTTTAGTATTGGGGTGGAGGGGTCTGATCACTGTGAATCTGTAGCACATTATCAACAGCGATAGTACCTTTGTGGATCGTTGGCGCTGCCTCCAGTCCGTGGATGACCTGGTTGAGAGGCTTGTGGGTACACTCGATACGCTTGGCCAGCTGGATAATACCTACATTTTATTCAGGTGACGGTCGTGCGGGTTTGATGAGGGCTTGGCATGAAACGCCCATCGCTGGATAGCTCCCCTTTTTTTGCGTAAATTGTCTTGTACAACTTCTCTTTTTACGTATTCATTTCCTCTCCATGTGTCGCCGGGTTACAGCTCAGATCATGGGCAACACCTGGGTCAGTTTGGCATGGAGTTTGACAAGCGTCAGTTGTATGAGACGGACATTCGCGTACCGTTGGTGGTACGCGGGCCGGGTATTCCCAAGAACAGTGGAACAGAAGCCCTGGCCCCACACATTGACTTGGCCCCCACCATCCTTGACATGGCGGTAGGCCACGCTAGTCATTTTTTTGATGAATGTGGTGTGCTAGCACGACAGATGTGCAGCAAGTGTGAAAATTGCTAGGACCAAGAAGATTCCCACCTCAATCATGTCCATATGTTGGCACTGCATGTCGACTCCTGGCAGGGTGTAACCAAGCCAGCTGTTATGGATGGACGCTCGTGGCTGCCCATCGCGCGCAATGCGACGCCTTCTGACTGGCGGCAGGACTTTTTGATTGAATATGGTGTGTCCCGATACCAACTTTCCGTATGCAGGCACCTGCATGTCCTGACGCATGGTTGCCTCTACAGGCGGCCCCAGTATCGACTCGTGGGAAAACCTTGAGGCCCCTCGAGGCGAAGGTGATTGCGGCGCCAACTTCACCTGTGCTGGCGTGGAATTGTGTGGAGGAGAGCATGGCAGCACGCCATGCGATGCCGTCAACAATACATGTGCGATTCATCATGTTTCTTTTTTCGGGAGAAAGCCTCCGGCACACAGACACAGACGCAGACACACACACAGACACAGACGCAGACACACACACAGACACAGACGCAGACACACACAGACACACAGACACAGACGCACACACACACACACACACACACACACACACACACACACACACACACACACAAACACCCCATTCCACCCCTGTTGCAGTGATGAACCTCCCTGCCTCATCGCGCATCTCACAGCTTCCCATGGTGCTTGTTTTGTGACCTTGCATGCATATAGACAAGTGCTTGCGGACCATCAAACCGGACGAGAATTCCATCTACTGTGAGTTTGACGATGCGGAAAACATGGTGGAGTGGTATGATATTACCGCAGACCCGTGGGAAATGAACAACTTGCATGAGTCTGGCGATGCAAGCAAGAAACAGCAACTGCATGAGCGCCTCCGAGCCTTTCGCGAGTGCAGTGGTGACGAATGCTTCAATCCTTCTGGCAAGGTAGTTGCGTGAGCCATGGTCACCTTCAATCGACTATCAATTCATCAATACCATAATCTTGCTGGTTTCAAAACAAAGCAAAACAACACGGAACACAAAAACAAGTCTCTTAATGTGAAAAGCAAATCGGGTGCTCTCTGAGCATTGGGTGGCAGTGCATGGCCAGTCGTGCCTGCTGGGGCGTGCCCGTCAAGCACGTATAAATTTAGTCAAGTGGGTGGAAATCAGGTTTTAGCATCGTCTGAAGGACAGGTCAGGAAGGATGGGGGGAGGGTACACCTCACAGTAACCACGGGTTATCGCTCTGGTATCCGGGAATCAATGAAAGGGTTTTGCGGAAGGAGTCACGCAGCTGTTCCATGTCCACGCGCGTGCTCTCGTGTTCTTCTTTGGCGTGTACAAGGCGCTCTTTGTGGACTTCAATCTCCGCATACAGGTCCTACCCCAAAAATGCCCAGCATGGGTGCAAACATGTTGTCATGAGCGAGGCAGAATGCTAAAACACAGCATGTCTGCAGCACTGTCGCTGCTCTTGGCTGGTGCCTGAGCAGCAAGTTGGCATCAAACCTTGATGTCGGCGTGTAGCTGCTCGATAGTCGCTTTGTAGGGTACAATGGCAGCTGCCACGGCTGTGGCCGTTTCTCCCTTGACGCGCTACGAGGTGATGCAGGGTCGGTCGCCCAAAACCACGGGTCAGGCCACGGTGCCGGAGAAGAAAGGGCCCGGCCAGCGAGAAGGCGAGGGGATTCACCTCAATCTCCTCGTCAAATTGTGCCTTGGCACGAGCATACGCTTCGGTTCGAGCCTTTTCTGCCTCGACTAGAACCTTCTGCTCAGCCTGACACATGGAAACCCAACAGGCAACGCCAAGGCAAGGTGCGTGAGGCAGCCGATGGAAAGAACACGCAGGCCAGGCCAGCGCTGGCGCCATTCGAACGTACTCGCTCCCAGATCACGGCCTTGGCCTTGAGGACGGCCAAGCGATGAAGTTCACTCTTTTGCTGTCGAGCCTCCAGACTGTCGTGGAGAATTGGATGGCCCAAAACAATTGAATGCTGTGAGTGTAGGCCTGAGGTCTGATGCACACCATTTTGGGTCCTGCGGGACGGACCGGGCGGCTTCAACGCGAAGCTCGGCAGCTTGGCGTTCCTCGCGACGCGCTGCTTGAACCGCAGCCTTGCTCGCTTCCTGCAGTTCCTTCTTTTGGGCTGCCAGGGCCTTGGCCTGCTCCTGTGCTAGCTGCTGAGCAAGAGCCTGTAGCATCATGTGGTGTCTCGAATGAGCCTTGATCTGCCAGGTCAAGGTCGAGACGGGGGCGTGCAACATCACCTCTAGCTCGCTGTGGTGGCTGGCAATCAACTTTTCGCGTTCAGCGGCGGCAATCTCACGCTCGGCATCCCGAGCCTGTGTCGACAAAGACACCACCATGAGACAGCAGTCAGGGAGAAAGGGGCAGGCCAACATGCGCACGCCGGACGCACCTCATCACGGGCCGCGGCAATCCGCCACTCGTTCCTTTCCCTTTCTTGTTGAAGTGTCGATTGCAGGTGTTGCTCGCCCACAGCTAAAGGCGATCGAGGGCGCGTGAGAACCGAGGCCCGGTACCACGCTACCGCCCACCGACGCCCGCATCAGCCCTCATACCCAGGATCATATCATGAGCAGCACGCTCGGCCTTGATTTGTTGCGCGTTCATCCTCAAAAGTTGTGGCGTATGAGCCCGGTCCTGAAGGTGGGGCTGACACCTGCCTTGTCAAGCTCACCAGCAACTGATCAACCGATCAATCAATCATTCACCAACGTCAATCGACTGCCATTCCGACCCTTTCGCGCGCGCTTGTGTGTGTGTGTGTGTCTCTCTCTCTCTCGCTCTCACAAAATTTTGGGCAATTTGGTCGAGCACAAAAAGGCTGACAATATCGTGGTTGTCAGCACAACAAGTGGTGAGAACAGGTGTTATGGTTGTTTCTAGCGACAAGAGATGCATCGCGGTCAAACATCGTGTTTTGAATTCAAAACTCAGAGAATGTCAAACACAACAGCAAAAAACAACAGAAAACCGTCGAAAACAACAATAACAACAACATTCATTCGAAATTTGCTCTGTGTGTGTGTGCAAACGGCAGCGCCTCTGACCAGTGGCAGAGAAGAAAGAGAGAGGGAAAGAGAGGGAGAGAGGGAAAGGCGCCAGGGTGGGAGGTGGCATCTCATTGAGGAATGAGTTTAGCTCCCAATGATCCACAACGTAGTCAAGTTCGTCAGGCTATAGTCTCCCATAAATATACCACTTATTGAAGATTCATTAATGTCCAGTATATTAGTTTGTGTAGATATTTTATAAGTTAATGCTGTTCATCGGCTCGAGCATTTTATTCCATTTTTTCTCTACCACTGCCCGGTGGTCATGAAGGTGCGTCTGGATCGATGATGGCTGGCTGATGACTCAAAGCTTGCTCGCGCGGGCTGGCTCTGTGGTCAAAGAGGGAAAAAGACATGAGTGGGGAGGAGCGCTTCACCTTGGTCATCAAATGAGCTGGTGGTGGCAAGCTTGTTTGCATTGCCAAAACACAAAGAGAACAGAGGGTGTCTGACGGACCAGGGCTGACGCGCGCGGGCCTCGCTCAAACTCATTGTCGGGACTCGGGCTTTTGCATGACTTGCATGCTTCCTCTTCATGATCGCAGCGCGTTTTTTCGGTTCCCGGCAGCGCGCACGGCAACAGCCGTGTGCTCTTCCAGTGGCAGAAAAAATCGGGCAAATACTTGGCCTCGGCTGGGTACGACCTCCCCCCGCCTCCCAATCTTCGCTCACTTTTTCGGGTCCACGAGCCCGAACCTTGGTCCCTCCCCTTCCTGGTTTTGGTTGATCTGAACTTGGCGTTTGCTTCTACACTTTTAGCGCTAATCGCCGCGTCAACATCTACAACCGCGAAGGCAACATTGTCGCTGAGCTCGAAACCGAGGGGTGCGTGCACGGCGGCCCGCCCTCCTCCGTAAACTGTCCCTTGCCATTGCTTTGCAGCTAGCTGATGCTGGATCTTGACTGTGCTTTTCAGCAATGCCGTGTCCATGGACTGGGATGCTCAAGGCATCACACTGGCCGTTGCCTGTGAAGGCTCAAGTATGCCCTTGTGTCGTGCCCCGCGCCAACGCTCCCAGTCTGCAGTGGCGCACATCGTGCGCACCCGCCGCTCACCCGTCGCGCCCGAAACGGCTGATTGTCCGCTCCGCAGATAAGGTGCTCATGTGGAACTCTGACACGAAGGAATCCTCTCTGCTCGAGACGGACGAGAAGAGCCCCCTGAGCATGGTCCGCTGGTCCACCGAAAAGCTCCTCCTGATCATCGGTACCGTCAAAGGCAATCTGATCCTGTACAACCAGGAAGTCCGCCGCCGCGTAAGTCTGCCATCCCATTGTTTGCTTGCAGCCGAGCGCCAAGCGTGCGCCCATGGTATGGTCAAAAAGTCTGCCTGCCTGCCTGCTGGCCATGCCGCTCACCACCGACCTCGCCACGCGTGGAATAGATTCCCATCCTGGGCAAGCATAACAAAAGCATTACCGAGGGCATCTTTGACCAAAACAACAACTTTGCTCTCCTCTCCAATGACAGGTCTTTCACCATCAATAATAGCGACGGTGATACCTTGCATCAGCCCATGCTGCAGAGCGACGGCTCGAGCATCCGCTTCTACAGCCCGCCCAAGACAGCCCTGCGCGAGGGCAAGCTTCACGAGCCCAAGGTACGTCTGCGTATCAAGCCTGCATGTTGACGTGCCCATGCCTGCCAAACCTTGCCCATTCTGCTTGCATGTTTCTGCCGCTCATGGAACCTCATCTAGGCGAGTCTCATTCTGGACAAGAAGACCCTCTACATTTTTAACCTTGAGGATCCCGAGAACCCGATTGAGCTGGCATTTCAGGAGAAATACGGCACGATCGTTGCCTACGATTGGTCCGCTCGAGGCAACCTTTACATCGGCTTCAGCTCGGGCTACTTTGTCTCCGTGTCCACCCACATGGACAAGATTGGTCAAGAGCTCTTCCAAGTGCGCAATCACAAGACGCGCCTGAATGACATTGCTTGCTGCCACGCTGTGGAAAAGGTGGCAACGGCGGGCGATGACTTTGTGAAGATTCACGACATGCTCGAGCCCTCGGACGTGTACGCCATCATCCCGCTCGAGGATGACCGTGGCATGCTGGATCGCTTGCGCTGGAGCGAGGATGGACAACTGTTGACCATCAGCACCATGTCTGGCGCCGTGTACACATACCTCATGAAGCTTCCCGTCTTGGGTCAAGCTTCGAGCAAGTCGCTCGCTTACATGTCCTCACTCAAAGAGTTGACCGCTCAGTTCTTCGACCAGCCCGCGATTCGCCATCGCATCAAACTGCCGATTGAACCCCTCATTGTCGGTGCAGGCCCCTTTCACGCTGCCGTGGCTATGAATAACAACGCCTGGTTCTACACAACCGCAGCCGACGAAGAGCCCAAGCTCGTGGCTGGCTCGCCACGCGACTATGTGGGCACCGTGGACGGCATCAGTCTCAACGCTGACTACGCCGCCGTGCAATGCGGCGGAAAGCTTCAGCTTCAGCTTATCGAGTACGATGAAGACATGGGTACCGGTGATGGCCGGGAAGCCAAGCTTTTCCCCGAAAAGTCAAGCGAGAAGATTATTGCCTCCACCATCACAGAGTAAGCGGAATCGTCTTTGTGAATCCCATCCCCTGGGCTGTGTTGCACAAACCGTTGCATTGGTCCAAGAATGTGGTTGAGGCTGTCGGGAGATACTCTCTTTATTCAGATGAGACAGTTTACCGTGCATGTACTGCCGCGGCTCACGCGCCGTTTGCAATGTTCTTCCCATCTCGTTTAAACAGGGCGTTCCTGATCTATGCAACGGACAAGGGCGGCATTCACTACTTCAGCCTCGAAGACTGGATGTTCGTCAACGAATATCAGCTTCCCAGTGGCATCAAGCGCTTCTTTGCCGATGAAACCGGCACACGCGTGGTTGTCGTTGACAACAAGGGCGATGCCTTTGTCTACTCTCCGGTCCGTGCCGACCCGCCCCGCGTTGCGATTCTCCTTACATTCACACCACTTGGTCTTTGCTCCATGCACCAAATGGCTACCTCACCGCTGGTTTTGTGGTACCAGGTGGATGATAGTTGCGTGGAAATCCCCAACGTCAGCCCCACAATCAAGGGCTTCCTTTGGGACACGGTGGCAACAGAAAAGACCTTGTTGGGCTACGACGACGACAGTTTTTATGTCTACGCCTTCTTGCAAGATCACGTGGATAGCGGTGTGTACCCGTCCGCCATCCCTTGGATTGCGAGCTCCTCCCATGTGTAGATTTTTTTTTTTTTTTTATTTTTAATTTCCTTTCTTTTTTCTTTCTGTTTTCTTTCTTTTTCTTTTTTCTTTTTTTTTTATCCAAAATTGCGTTTCGATTGATGCGTTCCCATTATTGGTGCGTGGCCTGACTGTTGGTACCATATGCTATAGTTGCGAGCGGCCACAATGAGCTGGGATCACTTTGCCAGTTTGTGGGCAAGAGTCAGCTCGCGCACGGCTGTCTGCCCGTGCGTTTGGTTGGAGGTGCCGTCACCTCGCTCACGCCAAGTGGCAAGCCCAAGACGGATACCCTGTCAACCCATCGCTACCTGGTTGAGCCCAAGAACGTGGGCTTGAGCGACTTGCCCGCGGCCATGGAGGCGGCTTTGCAGATGGGCAATTTCCCCTTGGCTGCCATCCTGCTCAATCGCCTGTTGGGTTCGCAGCAAAAGGTTCGCTCTCTTTGCTTCTTGGGTCCAGAGCATGTTATTGTTTGGCTCTCATTCATCGGCTCTCATCCATCGCGCCCTTGATTAAATTGGCAAATCCAATTGTGGTTGCTCACCGACCGTGCTGCTCCTCTGTAGGCGCCCGTTGCTTCAAGCAAGGCGGCCGAAGCTGCACTCAAAGCCTTGGACATCGCTTCGGCCACCACCATGTATCGGCTGCTGGGCAAGCCGGGCATGGTGCGCACGCTCAAGGCACTCGAGGTATGCCGCAGCAGAGGCTCTTTTGCCAGTAGCTTGTGTGTCGCCGCAACCTTTGGATTGCGCGAGATGCTGCAACTCTTCTCATCCCCCTTATTCCCGCCTCCAGTTTGTTGAAGACCGCCACCTGCTCGGTGGGCACGTGTCCATGCTACTTGGCAAATTCAACCGCGCCGAGCAGTTGTTCCTCAACTCGTCGCAGCCCGAAGAAGCCCTGCACATGCATCGCGACTTGCTACAGTGGGAGCAAGCCCTGAAGCTGGCCTCGAAGTACTCCCCCAAGGACCTTCCTATCGTCGCCCGCGAATACGCTCAACAGCTCGAGTTCCAGTGCGTTTTGAATGCTGGCTCGAACAACCATCGTCGGAGCACTCATTTTCCAACGCGTTTCTCACGTTTGTATGCACGTGGCATGGTAGGGGCAACTTTTCGCGGGCCCTTGAGCACTACCAGACCGCGCAAACAAATGACCCGCGGGAGCGTGTGCATAACGACGCGTGCAAGGCGGGTATTGCTCGCTGTGCTTTGCGCACGGGCGATGTCTCGCGTGGGTTGGCGCTGGCAGAGGAGATTGGATCAATCAAACTCTTTACCGAGTGTGGTGCAGCCCTCGAGGCCACCGACCATTTCAACGAGGCTGCCCAGTGCTACGAGCGGGCCAACATGGTTGATAAGGCCGCAGAAATGTACATCAAGGTATGTTGGGTTTTGCGTGCGGATGGGGCGGGGTGGTCGAGCACTCTCCTGGTCATTGTGTTGTAGACTATTTCCAGACTCTCATGGCAAGCAATGGCCGATCCATTGTGTCTTGTTGCAATAGACCAAGAATTGGGTCAAGGCCGGAGAAATGCTCGAGAGCGTGAGCAACACGGCATTGCAGCTGCAATATGCCAAGGCCCGCGAAGCTAGTGGCAGCTACAAGGAGGCAGCCACGGCTTACGAGGCGGCCAACGATGTTGTCTCGGTCGTCCGAATCAACTTGGATCATTTGCGCGATCCTCAAGAGGCTGTGCGGGTGGTACGCGCCTCTGGCTCTGTTGAGGGCGCCAAGATGGTGGCCAACTTCTTCCAAAAGATTGGGGACGCGCCAAGTGCCATCCAGTTTTTGATCATGTCGCGCAATGCCGATGAGGCATACGCCATGGCCAAGCAACACAACCAGCTCGACCTGTACGCTGAGGCCCTTGGTGATGCTGGCACTCCCGAGGTTTACAAGCAGATTGCCGGTACGCTTTAGTCGCGGCGACCCCTGCCCCTCATCCTTCCTCCGAAGAAAAAGCAAGAGCAAGACAAATAACAAAGGCACCGGCTATATCCAAATCTTACCGCCGCATGCATCCTTCTTGTGTGGCTATTTTGATGCGTAGAGGACTATGATCGCTTGGGCAATGGCCTTCAGGCTGGTCGCTTCTTCTTGCAGGCTGGCCTGTACGACGATGCTGTGAACCGACTCGTGCAAGCCTCGACGGAGGACGGCGAGCACGTGGAGCTGGCCATTCGCGCGGTATGGCGTAAATCCAAAGTTTTTCTTTTGAGCGGATCTTGTCCATGTTGTCGGTGCAGGTGGAGACGGTATTATCTGCACTCCTTTGACTCTGTATTCCTACTGTGTCCCTTCATGTTGAACCTTTTAGGCGGGCGAGGCCGGTGAGACAGGCTTGACGCAACGTGTCTTGGATTATCTCATGGGGGAGGTTGATGGCGTTCCCAAGGACAGCCGTTACCTATTCCGTCTTTATTTGGAGACCAAGCAGTATCAAGAGGCTTCGCGCACGGCCAGTAAGTACAAGTGCAGCAGATGAAAGTTTGCTTCCCGTATGCAGCCTCACGGCGTTGCGCTGGTGTTTGTAGTTTTGGTGGCGCGAGAGGAGCAACGCACGGGCACATATCGCACGGCGCGCGACGTTTTATATCAAATGTTCAACGGTGTGTTTATTCTGGCATTTGATGCCTGCCCTCGTACCTCCAAACTTCTCCGTCTGCAGTTCGCTTCCCCTCATTGTGGTGTGGTTAACGGATCGAGTAGAGCTTAAGGAGCAGCGCATCGGTATTCCCGCTGAAATGTCCGACGATTTGAACATGCTGCATTCCTACATCCTGGGCAAGGTGCGGCGACGATGTTGCATCAACGAGCTTGTGTGGCATCAACCTGCTCATTCAAGTTTCTTGTGGTCGTGGTTGTTAGATCCGCATGAAGCTGGGTGATCATTTATTGGCAGCGCGCATGCTGAACCGTGTGGCCAACAGCATTAGTCGCTTCCCGGCCCACGAGGTCAACATTTTGACAACCACGGTGATTGAATGCTTTCGCAGCGGCATGAAGAAGCAGGCCTTTGACTTTGCCAAGCAATTGTTGGCCAACGAGTACCGTGACAAGCTTGAGGAGAAATACAAGAAGAAGATTGAGTCGATTGTTCGCAAGCGCGATCTGAGCGAGGTTGAGGAGGAACAGGAGCCTTGCCCCTACTGCTCCACCCAGCTGCCCGTCACATCTCTTTCGGTTGGTCTGCGAGTCGCTGCATCATGTCTGCAGCGGAATACCCTCAACTCACCCGGCCCATGCTCACGCGCGCGTGTGCGTTTATCATGAAAACAGTGCTACAATTGCCAGAAGCGGCTACCCATGTGCATTGCCACGGGCAACTTTTGTGTGCGCACCGACTTCACGCAGTGCCCATCGTGCCGCTTTCCGGCGCGCAAGTCGGTTCGTACCTCTCTTCTCAGCGTCCACTTCTCGGTGGTTTCAGATACTCTGGTTGATTCCGACGTTTCTGGCGGTCTGTCGATGTGAACCAGCCTTGCCTCATCTTGATCTGCATGCTTGTGCGCGCTTGTGCGCGCTTGTGCGCGCTTGTGCGCGCTTGTGGCTCGGTCGCTCTTGGGCAGGCGTTCCTGCGATATCTGCAGTACCAACCACAGTGCTCCATGTGCTCGACCCAACTTGATGCCTCAAAGATCAAACAAACACCGGTGCGTTAGCCTGTGTTGTTGCGATCATTGATCACGGCGAAATTCAATAGCCTCTTTGGCCTGCGTGTGCTGAGTGGCCCCCTCACACCGCCTCTTTCTTTGTGGTGCTTGCAGCTGGAGGAAGTGGAGGCGTTCTTTGAAGGATTCCAGAAGGACATTGACGCAAATGCGGTGCCTGTAACAGATGTCAAGGCTCAGGCTGAGGGGGAAGCCGCTGCAGCCGATGATGACGAGTCTGATGATGATGAGAGCGAGCTGATCTGAGAGCGATCTTGGCCCATCGTGTCTTAATGCCTGCCCGCCACGCGCTCGCTGCCTATGTGTCTAATCGTGAGCGTGTTGACCCATTTGTTGACGCGGCAAGCAATTGAATGCAAACTAGCTGTTTGTTTTTTTACGGATGCACCACCATGATACGCAAATGTTCATCGACTCAATTTTGGTTCTCTTTCAAATCGGGGATTGGGATGTTCCGGGCCGCCAGCTGGGCGGCAAGAATGAGGCCAGGGGCTTTATCCCGCATCATGACATCCAGTTTGTCACTCTCGGCTACGGATACCTGAACATCAAGCAAACGCTGGATGCAGACCCGACTGCTTCCGCCGTCCTGACGCCACTCTGCCTCAAAGCCGGCCAAAGTGGTGATATCGGCGGCGTAGAAGGCGTCTGCCAAGCGCTCAAGACGAGCCAATGCCAAGACAATGATGAGGTTGCGCTCCAAATTCTCAAAAGCCGAGCGCCGATGTTCCGTGGCTGTGTAGTGGCGCTTGCCATGCGAGGTCGCCTCAGCCTCGGTGGCTGAGGTCGGTGTCTCGCAATCTGCTGAGGAGGCATCACACGTGCCACTCTGACTACTACTTTGCTTGCCCTCACGTGCGACTGTGTCAGCCCCAGCGGCAGGTGGTGCGTGCTTGCTCGTGGGTTTGGCTTCAATCTTGGGCAACGCGGCCACCAGAGCTTCAATCTGCCATGAGCGAGTGTCTCACGTGAGCGATGCTTTTTGGTGGTCGAGAGGAGAGCCGTGTGCGTGGTGCGGGGGAAGTCGCATACCCGTTGCAGTGTGGCGTGATCGGCTGCATTGCGCCGCACGTAAAGCTTGCGCAGAGTGCCCATGCGGCTGGCGCTCGTGGCCGCCACCAGGACTTTTTCGAGGTTCATGGCCCCCTGCTCCGAGATTAAATTGTAGGAAAGATCAAGCGCTTCGAGGGTAGGGTGGGCAATGATGTTGCTGACAAATTCAGGGAGAATACCGTCACCGGCGTCATTGACGGCCAAGAGTAGCTGTTGCAGCGTGCGGGACGGCCCGACGCCTCGCAAGACTGCTTGCACGCCCGCAGTGCCTGTACGTTTTTGCCACGTGTGTGAGGATTGACGGCTGCACGCAAAGGGCGTGGGCTTGGCTGGCATAAAAGCAGGCTGGCGAGATGATCGTTCGCACCGAGGGCGTTCATCGAAAGATCAAGATACTTGATAGTGGGGTTGGCCACCAACATGCTTTGAAATACCTCGCCCCCAACCACGCCTGCAAGATTGGTCGTGCCAGGAGAGTCCACAAGACACGCGCCGTCACAATTGTTTGGAGCAAGCTTTCAAGCTCAACGACACAGAGTGGTAAGGGGTACGCCAAAGACGCACCCAGCTGTTTGTTCTTTGAGAAAATTAGCACTTGAAGCTGAGACTTGCCCTGGCATTTCAAGGGGTGGCGACGGTGAGTTACGCTGACTCCTAGGCCGAAACAGCTTGCGCTTTGAAAGGGTTTGGACCATGATCTGACCTGTCGTAGAGTAGCAGCCAAGGCTCGGGCTCCAATCACCTCTGATTGCACTGCGGCAAGCGAGAGATGACGCAGCGACTTGACCTCGCTGATAAGGACTGCGATGGAGACAACGCCGCGATCACCCAAGGGGTTCATACTCAGATCAAGTTTCTGCAGAAGCTTTCGCTCCCGCAGTGGTTGGGCCAAAGCTTCAATGCCGTGTTCTGAAATGGCGTTGCGAGCCAAATTCAGGTCGCGTAGCGGACCATGCCCAAGGTCCGCGCCGACTTGAGCCAAAACGTCGTCGTCGATGCCGGCATTCATGAGGTTGAGGACTTCAACGGATTGTGCGCGGCGCATGGCCTGTGCAAGGCGAATAACAGCGGCCGGTGGAAGACGATTATGGCTCAGATCAAGCTGCTGTAGTCGGAGGCCCGAAGCGAGGGCATTGGCCAGGGCGTCTAAAAACGCCAAATTTAGCTGACACCGGACAGCCGAAAAGCCCTCAATGGTCGTGGACTTGAGCAGCGCCTGATGGGCCAGGGGGTGGGAAGGGGGGGGCAAGTGTGCAAATTGCGGATGTGAGATATTTAAACCAGCTATCAAACAAGTGTGCCCTCCCATGTCTCATGGGGCCCATGTACCAAAGGCTGGCCATTGGAATGGAATGTCAAAGACGAGGGCAAATTGGAGAAATTTCCAGTAGATGTGATAGTATATCACAAGAAAGATGAAGATGAAGAGCGAGCGAGCAAACACGGTGGAGGGATCGTACGGTTGTCAACTGCTTGGCGCTGTCCTCGTTGGCCAGGAAGTTGGCGGCTGACGCCTCAATCAGCTGGCACTGAGTGGTGGTGAGGTAGGTCACGAGTTGTTCCAGGTCCTTGGGCGCGCAGGTTCGCATCTGGCCTGCACAGGACAAAAAGCAGCCCAGACCCAGCCACAAAGCCAAGACCCAAGCCACCCTTGCCGGCAAGGCCGCGCCCTGGCCCCGAACCGCCATTCTCTGCACGCCCTGCCAGTCAGTCTCCACCCCCTCGAAAAAAAAAAAGACAGACCGCCAGTTGATCGGGAGAGAGAGAGAGAGAGAGAGAGCGCGAGAGAGAGAGAGAGAGAGCGATGAACCGAAAATGTTGGAATCGGAAGTGTGACAAATGCTATACTTTCTCTTACACCATAAAAGCGCAAGCCTCTCTCTCTCTCTCTCTCTCTCTCTCTCTCTCTCTCAAACTCTCTCTCTCTCTCTCTCTCTCTCTCTCTCTCTCTCTCTCTCTCTCTCTCTCTCTCTCTCTCTCTCTCTCTCACTCTCTCACTGTCTCGGCGCACCTCCGCTGGGTTCTGGCTGTGCTGCGCTCTGATTCTTGCTTGGGCGTTTTGGGATGAGTTTGAGGCTGATGGTGGCTTAAAGTCAAGACGAGCTGGGATTATTTGATTTGGAGGGACACATTACCACTACGCCGTGGCTCACATGGCCAAGATGCAGTGCTTTGCGGACGACCTCGTGGACGGCATGCCCGTGTGCATCGGCCTCTTTGAACACGTGAAGAATGCGAGTGATCTGCGTGCCAGGCTCATGGCCGGGCAATTGGAAGCTGCGTGTCTTTCTCCGGCCTGCGTACGTTGCGTGTGACCCGCTTCAGGGTTGGCATTCGCACAGGTGGACTGATGCCAGCTCCCCTTGCGTACTCATGGCTGGTGATGCGGTTCGGATAGTTGGTCAGCGTGCACCAGTTGCGACTGGCCATTCTATCGGCCTACAATGCCAGCCTTGATCAGAAAATGAAGACAAAGACGGTCCAAGCGGAAATGATGTACGCCCTCATCCCCAATAAGCAGGTTAGCCCTCATGGAACAGGAAAATGGCAGTCGGAGCGATCGCGACTCGAGATTGGTAGAAAAGGAAACAAAGGGCGGAGAGGGGAGTCCCGCGCGCTTGCTGGTGAGCCCAGAGGTCTATATCATTGAGCTTGAGCGCACATGACACTGCCGCTGCCTTGGAGTAGCTCAAGCAAGCCTTTGCCTCCTTTGGCATTGAGGACGACGCGACGACCATGGTTGTGGTTGTGCTGGGAGATGCGACAAAGGTGAGGGACACCCCCAACCTATCCTCTGATGATGCTCCCGATTCTTTGAAGGGGTCATACTCACGCGAACATGTCGGCAGTGGGCCAGTGTTGTGGCTGATATTGATGGCGTTCTGCAGGATCTCGAGCTCCTCAATACCCACACAGATACGGCTGCCGTCCGCAAGGTAGACCCCTGCTTGTGAACTTCAGCGCACCGTTCCGGCACCCCATGCAGTCATCCGTGGCAGGTCGCTCATGATCGGCATACCGCGCACACCTGCTTGTGTCTATAAACTGCCATTTAGCTGTACAAAATCACTCCAGAAGAGGAGCGTGTCAGCAGTCTGGAGGATGCCGTGCTGACCCGTATGGCTGCCAAGCAGCTCCTGCACTAGATCCGACCGCCGCCTCCCTTCATGTACAACGGCTACCCGCTTATGGCCTTCATCTTGTGGCCATTCCACCCCGGATGCTCAGCTCACGCGCTCGCACTGTGTGCCGGCGCTATTTGTCGTTTCACTCATGAATTTATGGCGCAAAGATCTCTCAATTTGTCGCCCCAGCCCTGGGCCGTCATCAAGCTTACTCCTTCTTGGACTTGCCAGCTCCCTGCGATGCATTCGTTGTAGCGACGTCAAAATGAACACGCAAGCACGGGCAAACCACATGTTGCGGCAGGCCTTACGTTGCGCGCCGTATAGTCCATGTAGACCTGGTATCCGAGGGCTACAACCACGAAAATTGGTGCCACCAAAATTTCGAGGAGGGGCATTTCGCGCGGCTGAATACCACAAGTGCCCTACATTGAAACGCCCAGCGCATCAAAGACAAGCGAGAGCCCAGAAAACAAATAAAGGGGTGGTGGATGTCGCCCTACCATGCGAGCCAACTCGCCGAGAGCTTCCGTGGTAACACTGTAAGCACCGCTGGCGATGCCTAGCACACATACAACGCGGTGAGGAAGCAAAGTACAGATCAGGTGTTGCACATGGCATTGGCTTGAAAAGCAAGCATTCTATCAAGGCTATTCACGCCGGTTCGTTGAACCGAAAGCATTTAAAAAAATAAAAAATAAAAAATAAAAAAATAAATGAAAAAAGTTCAGGGCCTACCGTCGATCAACTTTTGCGCTGCCTGGTCCGCTTCGATGAGGCCCATTTGACCCTCAATGTCCTTTTAAGGTGGGACCGCATGTTGCCAGCAAGGGATGGTGAAGGTGCGCACTTGATGACTGGGCGCGCGCATGAGGTGGCCTTGGCACTTACGCGCGTCTCCTGGGGCTTGGTGAGCTCCTCGATCTCAAAACCAGGGGTGTTCATGCTGGATGGGAAGTAAATCATCACACGAATGTCGTAGCGCTGTGCCCAAACAGCGTGAGCTGAACGGTGGTGTCAACAAGCACAAGGGTCGCCTTGCTTCTCCACGATATTCGAGCACACAGGAAACTCACCAAGAGCTCGTTGCGCAGGGCATCAGCAAGGGCGCGCACGGCAAATTTGGACGGAGAGTACTGTGAATAGCCCACAAAACCTAGGTCGGGGAGGGATCGAGCGCCAGCACCGAGCGCCGTGTGAGGGAGCCAGCAATGGCGTGCCGCGTTTCCTTTCGCTAGCAGTACGCACTGCCAAAGCAAACGGCGCTGCTGACGAGGATGATGGTGGGCTTGCGCTTGGCCTGGATCATGTCGGGCAGCGCTGCGTGGACCATGTTGACGCAGCCAAAGTAGTTGACATCCATCTGCTGACGATGAGTCTCAATCTTAGACTCCAAAAAGTAGCCAGGCGCCGCCATGCCTGCGCTGCAAATCAAATAATCAATGGCACCATTGATGGATGTAGCACGGGTCAGAGCTTCCCTGACTGCCTCGACGTTTGTCACGTCGCAGGGCACGTAGCAAATCTACTCGCATGAAATCAACGGCATGGCTGGTTGAGCGTGTGATGGATCTCGTCCCGTGGGCATCTGAATCTTAACTGCGTCGAAGGAGATGTTCCAAACAAAAGTACCTTGCTGAGATCTTTTTTGTTGCGGCTGATTTCCTCCACGGCGGCCTTGAGCTTGGCTTCGTTGCGAGCCATGATGGTCACGTTGGCGCCAGCCTGGAGATTGTTTGCACACAGAGCAAACGCATGCAGATCAACACGAGCCACACAAGCCACATCAAGGCCGCGGTCAAGAAAGAGAGCGCCGGCATACCGCGGCAAACTTCTTGGCAATTTCCAGGCCGAGGCCTAGAGAGCCGCCGGTGATGACGGCATGCTTGCCTTCGACCTTGAAACCAGGCGCACGCAGCTTGCGGTACAGATACGCCACCTACTCCCCACAATAAACGATCATCACACACCAGGGAACATATAGGCTCGGTGAGTAGAATTCGTGCCGATAGCCACAAAGCCGCAGCCGTCTCAGTACTGCACCAGTACCACGGTCCACTGGCGTGTTATCGTGTCGTACCACGCACAGGGCGGCGTAGCCCAGAGAGACCGTTGCAAAGCAGTTCATGTCAGTGAGTCAGTGAGGAAAAATGCATGTGTGTGTGAGAGAAAGGTGCTTGTACAGAGAGAGACAAAAGAGAGACAAAGCAAAAAAAAAAAAAAAAAATTGGAAGAGTTGATGGCATCTTTTTCCTCGCGGTTAGCGAGGCAAGTCGGTTTCATGCTATCACGTGAGTGTGCAGCTTAAGGGGGCTACTCCCAAAGCCGCAAACAAATAGCGGTTGCAAAGAAGTCAATTCATGGGGCTCTAGGCCGTTGGCCCGCAAGAACAAAAAGAACGAGGGCGGGCAAGCGAACGGGGATCATGTTGACACATGGGGGAACAGAGTCCAGGCTAGCGTCTGAACCGGACCGGATTCTCATCAACAAAAGTTTCTTAAGCTGTAAGACCTGGAAAGTTGCCGACCTGGTGTTGCTTCATAATGGGCATGCCATCGTTCTCGTAACTAATACGCAACAGCATCTTCAGGGGTGCTCCCTAAGGTAGCGCAACAAAGGCAAGCCAAGCACAGCCCCAGCGTATGTGTGAGTACAACCGATGAAAGCCACTTTGAACACTCTGAGACTTCCAAAAAAAGTCCGGCCAGCACGACTGGAGCGCCAACATACGCCGCTCGTTGTGACATATGCCTTCTGGGTCACTTGGCCCGAGTTGACTGCAGGCACAGTGGTGCTTGAAGCTGGTTGTAGCTGGACAGTAAATGACTAAGCCAGGAATCAAACATTGAACAGAACATGAGGTCATCGAATTGCAAAACTGCAAATGAAGTGTCTGGGGATGCTTGACACGCTCAGCCTACCCGAGGTACTGCCACTTGAAGGTTGTAGTTTGTCAGTGCGTTCATGGTGCTGTTGGTGGCAACCATGTCCACCACAATCTCTGCAAATCAGAAAGCGGGGACAATCAGAAGGGGGAAAAAAGCCGCCAACGAGGGGCAGACAGCAGGACTTCATGCTCAAATACTCAAATACTCACGACCGTCTGCTTGCTTGGTGGCTGCAAACATGAGTCGCAAGCCATCTTCGTGAAAGGCCTCAAAAGGAACAGGAGCGGCCGGCGCCTGTGAGCCAGCCCCAAACATTCCACCAAAGGGATCGGCGCCTACACACACGCACACACACGTCGCACATATGAGAACACATGTTATGAACCAATGCGGCCAAGCGTTTGAACAAAAGACGCATCACAGCCTAAAAAGGGAAGAGCTCACCGTTTGACGCGGGCTCAACAGACGCAGAGCCGCCTCCCAGGCCACCAAGCAAATCATCTAGGCCACCGCTGGAGGGGGCAGAGGTCGCGGCTGGGGCTGGAGTAGAGGACCCACCCAACAGGCCGCCCAACAAATCATCAAGACCGCCTGTACAACCGATACGTGATGCATAAAGAGCGTCGAGCCATGAGGACAAAAATGGGTCGGCAGGCCAAGGGACGTGCGACAAATTCGGAAACAAGCAACATAAAGCAGCTCTCACCGTTGCTGCTGGGAGGCGCCGCCGGCGTTGACCCAGTTGAACCACCGAGAAGATCAAAGAGACCACCGTCGCCGCCACTCATGGGTGTGTTTGTAGACGCTGGTGCCCCGCCGCCCAAGAGATCCAACAAGCCATTATCGGCACTGCCCGTTGGAGCGGAAGTTGAAGCTGGGACTAACACATGCATTGCGCAACGAAGCAGTGAGGCCTGGGCGAACAGAGCAAGCTGCAACTGGAAGATGGAATGGAACGCATAGCATCTAGATTCGTACCAGAGTCGCCGAGCAAGTCAAGCAGATCTCCGCCGCCTGCCATCCCATTGATTGCCCAAAATCAAGAGAAAGCCATGAGTTCAAGACGAAAGACGAGAGGCCACTAGGTCATCACGCAGGCCTCAACTCCACGACTCACCTGCAGCTTCGGCCGGTGCTGCGATTTGCGGAGTCGGTTCCTGGTCTGTGATGACGCGGTGTTGTTTGCTCTCCGCGACGGGCATGCGCTCCAACAATGCGGCGCGCATGTGATCAAAGGAAGAGAACACGGCAGAGTATTCGGTTGCACGCTGCTGAAGTTCCTCGTCGTGCGCACGACGGAAGGGATCCAACTATACCCCAAATCCGGTGTGTGTCAAAGAAGTTAAAAAAATGATTGAGAAATTAAGTCGGTAGCCCGGATGAAACGCCAACCCAGAGAGGTGTTGGTAGAACGTACCGTGTTGCGCACACTGCCAGCCAAGTTTGGATCGCGAACCGACAGCTTCATGATTGCGTTCATGGCATACTCCTTGGTTGCCTATCAGCAGAAGCAGGCGAGAAGAACAGCAACCCATATGGCCGAGCGGGTTAGATTGTTTCGCGTCAAGAGCAAGCTCTGAGCAGATATGGCGACAATCAAATGCCAAACCAACGCCAAGACAGACACAGACAGAAACAGGAAAGGAAATCTTACCAGGCCATGACTGGGGTGCTGCACGATACCCTTGAGATGCTCCAGCAACGTCTCGCCCGAGGGAATAATGGGCTCTGCGCCCTCTTCAGGCTCAATGGCACCACCAGCTACACAAAGGACGAGGAAAAAAGGTGTCAATGCGACTGTGGGCTTCTTGATGCGCTGCGACGGGTCTCAGTTCAAGGCAATTTTACAGTCACGTACCGATCAACTGATCGCCAAACTCGCCGATGCACCAAGCAGAGATTTGCAACAAGGGTTGAGATGGCTTGGGCTTGCACGAGGCCACAAAAAGGCGCTGAGAAGCATAGCGATGCAAGTCGTCCTTCTCGGCAATAATCTGAACAACCTCAGCCACGCCTTCCTCGGTCAGATGACCGCCGGCCAGCTCAAGCACGCGCAGCAGAGTGTCGACGTGCCATTTGGCGGTGGGCGCAAACTTGTCCGATGCCACCAAGAGCTCGGTGACCATGTAGGCGCGAAACTCTGCTCTCATTGAGAGGAAGCCCACAAGTAGCGCAGGTGTCAAAATGAGCAGAAGCCCCAGGTCGCAAGAATGATGACCCAAGCTGTCGCACCTTTCTCGGCCACCTCCAGAAAGCTGAGAAGCTCGGCCACAACTGAGCGAACGTTATTCTAGATTCATAAACAAAAGTTCGGCCAACAAAAAGTGAACGATAGGTAGAAGAACAAGGTGACGGTTGGGATCCCATACAGATCGGACGGAACTAGCAAGTGCAAACTCACCGAGTTGATGAGGGCAAACGCCAGGGCCAATGCACGGCGACGAATGGTTACGTCAGGCTCCTGCAGACCGCCAGCAGACCAGGCATACAGGGTACATGAGTGACAGCTTTAGTGTCTATAGGCGTAGAAGAAGGTGAGCGAGCCCTTGTCGTGTGGCCTACTCACGCGCAGGCAATCTACAATCACGGCACGGTGCCGTTGGACGGCCTCGGCGCCTTGTTCACCACCTTGCACGACGCGCAGAAGCGTTGTCAAGGCCACGTAGCTATCGCACGGGGATGGAAAAATAAATGTCAAGGGTCAGAAACACGCGGATTTGGCGGGCAGGGATGATTGGGCTGTGCACTGGCTCGGGCAGGGCGCACCGGATGTTGCGGTCGGGGTTCAGCAGAAAGCGGCCCAAGTTGTTGATGGCCAGAACGCGCAAGCCGCTCTGCGTGTTTGTGACACAAGGGCAACTGAGGGATTGGCCGGCCGAACAATGGCGCACCTGGCCAAGCGCGCGGGGGGGGGGGGTGGGCAGGCGCGAAGCAAGTTGGCCCAGGGAAGGCAAGATACGGTTACGCACCTCGGCCTTGATCTCCATGACGCAGCGCACGGCCTCGTAGAGAACGGCATTGCCCACGTTCGTTGTGCTGGATGTGTTGGTTGCCACCTCAGCCAAAATGTCATTCATGGCCTCGGAAGCTTCCATGTCGCCCTTGCCCAAGATACGCAAGAGGCGGAGAATGCGACACTGAAGGAATGGATCCGTCACTCCATTGACGTCATGATCCGCGGAGAAGCCCGCAGACATCAGGTTCTTCAACAATCGCACCAGGTTTGGTACCAGCTAGGGGGCGGTGGATGTCAAATACCAAACACAGCGGTCAGGAAGCGGGAAATGGCGCCATGGTCGCGGGTCGTGACGTGATGACAGGACGTACGCGACGAAAGTGGCCGAGTGCTTCGGGATCATTGATGGCAATTTCCTCAATCATGGTAATGCCTGTGATGAGGACGCCGTGGTGACGCTCCGAAAGCTGATGGGGTCGCAGCAGTCATAGCCATAAACATGAGCCAAAGAATAAAAACAAATGGAACAACACCAGATCAACAAGACCAACGCCTTTGACACACCAAAGTGCGGGTGGAGGAGAGAAAGTTTTCGACAAGCATGGGATCCTTGCGCATAAAGCGGACGGCACAAAGTGTGGCTTTTTTCTTGATGTAGGCGTTGGAGGACTTGATCAGCTTCTCAACCTCGCCGACCAAGTCGCGAGCCATGTCGCGGGATGCGATGGCGCCGAGCGTACACAGGGCCATGCTGGCCACATACTATGGCAGAAAAGATCAGCGCCAGTAAGAGCAAGACCAACAAACACACACACACACACGCGCGCACCAGTTCTATCGACCCGGTATGCTTGGTCGGCGCAGCGACGTACCGGAACCTTGTGGTTCATGTCCTGTTTGAGTGAGTTGGTCACCATCAGGTGCAGCTCCTTCTCCTCGTCGAGCAGCAACATGGTGCCCAGATGGCCTATATTTCAGAAGTCACAGCAAGACCGAGGGGTAGGGCATAACAACGTGAGCTAAGCCAATCAAGCCGGGTCAGATCCCGCCCAGAACGCAGAGCCAACTACGAGGGTACGGCGTACCGATGCGCTTGTCCAAGAAGCGGTTGGATGACACCAGCTTCATGCATTCAACCTGAAAGGGCCGGCATCAGCAAAGGCGAAAGGACGTGGCGATACGCCAGTGCCACGACGCCAATCGTCCATCTGCGAGGGGACGCACGCACCTGGCCAAAGTGGGCGGGGTAGCCCAGCATGTAAATGTAGAGGAGCTTGGCGACGTTGCGGGCGCTGTACTCGCGCTCCTCGCTGCGGAAGCACGTACGAATCTATGACACAGCAACAAGCGCCCAGTGCATCAACATGAGCCAACCCTTTTCTCTCTGCAAGGCGCATCAGCTTGCGCACACGGGCCATTGACACTTCAGCCACAGCCGCTCAACAACAAGACTAAACAAAGCAGCAACTGGCGAGAGAATAAAACAACTTGTGCTTTCCGCCGCCGCCTCCTCGCAATCGCTGCGTTGCGCTGCGTTCAGCCCAACCAAGCTGTGTGCATTGAACATTGCCAGCACTGCATACTACGTACATCTGCGCATTCCTTCTGCACGATTTCGCGCTCCTCCGCTGCCGTCTTGGCGCTGCGCACGCGCTGGATCAAGTCGCGGAGCTTGCGCGGAGCCATCCTGATTGGTTCTCAACAGCCAACGTCCACCCTCACAGCCTCAACCAGCAGCACAGTACCCAGGCACGCCTGTTCAAAGCGGTTCTGCTCGAGCTTCTTCGGTCCGCTCGCCGCCACTGCCGCGCCGCCGTTCACTGAAAATAGATGAGAGAGTGACACACAGAGACGAGAAGAGAGAGACAGAGAGACAGAGAGACAGACAGAGACAGACAGAGAGACAGAGAGAGAGATTCAGAGAGAGGCACAGAGAGACAGAGAGAGGACAGAGACAGAGACAGAGACAGAGAGAGACAGAGACAGAGACAGAGAGAGAGACAGAGAGAGACACACACACGAACAAAAGACCAACAAAGCATTCACAAAGGTGCGTTGGCTTGCAAGCGAAAAAACACCAAAAGTCAAGAAACAAACGTCTGACAATTTGCTCTTCCCGCTCAAATTCAAACGCATCGCTTGATCACAAAACTCAAAAATACCTGCTGCTGCTGCTGCTGCTGCTGCTGCTGCTGCTGCTGCTGCTGCTGCTCTTCTCAACGCGCAAAAGGTGTATTGTGCCTTATTCCCTTTCTGCCAAGGAACAGACAAAAGCTCATAAAAAAAAAAGGAACAAAAGGGCGTTTTGGTAGCCCGTGGTAGCATGGCGTTTCGACAACGCTACCGTGGCGGGACAGCTCCCGGTTCCAAGAAAGAAGCTGCCCCAGCTGCCACATTTGGATTTGGAAGTGCTGAACCTTCCCCACTGCGCCCGGCAGCTCAGCTGAATAAAGAAGAGGCGACGCCATCCTGCTACAAACCCTTGAATGACTCGGTGTGTTTTGTACATGTATCTGTGCTAGTGCCTGCTCCGCCTGAGACAGGTTATGTATTGTCACCTCATACACTTTCTTGTCTTGGGCTCGCTCTCACCCGTCAAGGCCACGCCGGCGTCACCGGCGCCCGGAAGCGTTGCGGATGAGAATCATCGCTTTACGTCTGCCACGCCAGGGTAAGAAGGTCGAGCCTCTGGTGTGAATTTCAGTGTAAACACTTTGAGCATGGCAGGCACCAACCCGGCTCACTTCATTTGCAAACAACGCCATGGCTTGTAATAGAACTCCAAGCACCAAAGGCCATGAGCCTTGGTCCGGCTACTCGCGCCGGCCAGAAGTGCGACCTCAATTGCGTGCCTTGCTGAAAACCCACGGGCGTCAAGGACGGCGACGCTCCGCTGGTCTCGGCTTTGCAACCGATGATGAGGGTGTAAGTTGACAATCAGCACGCACGCCAAACAACGAACAACTTCAGGTGTCAGCGGCTCTCGGATGGCTCATTGGTCTACTGATTGTTTCCTCCATAGCTACCCCTCTCCCCGCTGGCCCGGCCTACCGGTCCAACCCGAAAGCACGGTAAGCAGCCGCGAAAGATTCCCAGTCAGGCCTGATCTCTGCTTCATCAAAGCTCTCTTCGATTATCGTAGGCACAACGGTTTCGCAGCTCCGAACCAATCGCACCGCTTCCAAAAAGGCAGCCACTGAGCTTGCACTCGCTACGCCACAAGCTTCGCCTTTTCGTGGGCCCTTGGGGCTTGTGACCTCGACACCACAAGGCCTTCGCACGTTGGAAGAGCCGGATTTGTCAATGATCAGCTCAGTGCGTCCCTCTGCTTCAGTCCCGCATGAATCAACAGACGCACGCGCCCTCTTTCTCCTGCCCTGTCCTTTCTCCTTTCCTCTCTCACACCTGCCTGCTGTGCCCTGCATTGCCTATCCTGCTTTTCCAGATGGAGAGCCAGGCGGCCACACCAGTCACCAAAATCCACACCCCTGAGCCAGGCCCAGATGCCCGCCCGCTTCACCGCGAGCTTGAGCGCCTAGCTAATATGAATCTGTCAGAGATGCCGTCTCTCGAGTGCATTTCCATGGATGGCGAGCAACTCGAAGCTATGGCTCAATCAGCTCAAAGCTCGCAGCTCATCAACGCAGTTGAGGTGGCTGATCTTGAATCGGCTGTGGAGCGTTCAAATTCCCACTGCAAGCCAGATCAGAGCACCTCACAACAACAGGCTGATTTGCTCCAGAGCACACCCGCTGGCCATGAGACTTCCATTGCTGCCGCCGCATGTGGTGAGCTGAGCCAGCCATCTTCAGAGATCTCAGTGATTGATTCGTCCGCCGATGCGTCGGCCAGTATCAGCGCCAACGCATCTGCCATCAGCAATGCATCAGTGATGGACGAAAACCTCCATTGTCAAGCCTGCAACCGAACACTGAAGGATCAACGCTACGTGAATCGCCATCTACGCTCCAAAGCACATCTAGCTGCTCTAGCAACCTTGCAAAACGCAGAGGTGCAGAATGAATCCCTGGCCTCGCGCTCTTTGCCACCAAATCCAACAGCAGAAGCAAGCCGTGCCGATGAGAGCGACCCCGCGGAGACGAGCCTTTGCGCGGAGAACGCCCCACCGCATGAATCGACCTCAACGATGATGAACGAGCCAGTGGCATGCGAACAGTCCCAGTACCAAGACCAAAATAACTTGGCATGCAAACTCACTGCATCAAGCAGCGACGTCTCATCAACGGCAGATGCAAATGCAGAGCCCGACTCAACTTGCACAAGAGAGGCATCCATCTATGAATCAGCTAATGCTTCTCTTCAAGAGACCAGCCCTGAGGACATTGACACCTTGAGCTGCGGCAGTGTAAACACGTCCAAAGAGTCGGATGAGGCAGTACTCTCCATGACAGTCTTGAAACAACTCTATGCCCTTTGCAAACAAAGCAGCCCATTGCCATTTGCCGAGGCATTTGGGGGCAAGAAAGCCATGGGCCAAGCCTTCAAGGTTGGAGAGGGCTCCTTTGCCGAGGTCTTTGCCACCGTGTATGATGAGCTGCCAGCCACGTGGTCTGCCACTCACAAGGCTGGGCGCCAGGGCGTGGCCTTCAAAATCATGCCCATCGAAGGCGATGTGCTTTACAACGGCGAGGCTCAAAAGGCCGCCGCAGAAATCCTGTCCGAGGTTACTGCCACACATGCGCTCTCGCGACTGGGTCTGGCCGAGGCCGAGGCCGAGTACTCTTCCCCCCACTTCATTCCGTGCTACCGCATGACACTGTGCCACGGCCCCTACCCTAAGTGTTTGCTCAAAGCTTGGGATGCCTTTGAGGCCGATGAGACCCGCGAATGCCTCAACGACCGTCCAGATAATTTTGGCAAAGAGCAGTTGTTTCTCATTATGGCCTTTGCAAATGGAGGACAGGCTTTGGAAGATTACGACCTGACTTCACTTTACCAAGCCAAGGTACGTCCCGACAGAATGGAAGCGCCTGCTGCCAAGAGTGTCTTTCAAACTCATTCCGTTACATTGACTTGGGCTTTTGGTTGAATGCTTTCGGCCTTGTTTTGTTTTGTTTTGTTTTTTTATCAGAACGTGCTGCTGCAAGCCGCCGCTGGCTTGGCCGTAGCTGAAGCCGCGCACCGCTTCGAGCACCGCGATTGTCATTGGGGTAACGGTACGTCGCATTTATCTTATCGTTGTAAAATCCCCAAAGGGACAATGCTCACCTCAAATCCTTTCGCTTGACGGTGTCATGACCCGACTCTGGTTGGACTTGACAGTCTTGTTGCGCCCAACGCAAGACAAGAACATTACTTCACGCCTGCAGATCGATGGTCAATCATACAATCTCAATATTCCCACCGGCGGTAAGTTGTGCCAAGATACCTATCGGCATTCATGGCTACCCGGCCGTGTCAGCTCTCACCATCATGACGTGCATGGGGTTGGGGCGTTAGGCTTACAAGTGGGCATCATTGACTTTACGTTATCACGCTTGGAATGCGATGGAGGTATGTTGCAAGACATGCGCGATGCCTCGGCCGGTTTGCCCGTTTGCAGCCACTGACTGTCGTACTATTTGGCTTTGTCTTTTATTTCGATCTTATCATCATCATCATAGCGTTGACATATTTTGACCTTGCTTCGGACGAGATGTTGTTCCAAGGACAAGGAGACCGACAATTTGATGTGTATCGTGAGATGCGTGCGCTGACCAATGACCAATGGGACACCTTTTGTCCACAAACCAACTGCGCTTGGCTGGTCTATCTGGGCGAGCAACTCATGGACCAAAAGCAGTATCGTAGCACCGCTAAGCGCGAGCAGCAGGCTCAGGTCGATCTTGAATCGTACCTCACACTTTTGCGAACCAAGGCACACAGTGCCATCGAATTTGTACAACTTGTTGATGGTTTGTGCACGCTTGAATAGTTGCGACAAGCCAGCGAGCCCCATCAGACCAGGGCCTTGTTTGTTTTATCTTGTGACTCGTATTTTGCTTTGTTCGAGTACTTGTGTGTGCGGCCAAGCTCATTTTGGCACACACAGAATCATGTCTTGACAATTGTGCCGTGGAGAAAACGATGTAGAAATGAGAAATTCTTGGAGGAAATTGATGTCAATACCAATACGCTCATAAGTTGCTGTCCGAGCCCACGCACGACCGAAAGGAGATGCCAAGGTCTCGCTCATATGTCAATTGGGGCACGTGGATCGACAACGCCGCTCAGCGATGTTGCCAAAGTTGAAAAAGAAAAAAAAAGAGAAAAAAAAGAAATAAAGGGAAATTGAGACACTAGCGCAAGGCACCATGCCAACACACGAGGAAGACAACAAGGGTAAGAGAACGCCAAAAACAAGAACAAAACAAGCCAAAAAAAAAAAAAAAAAGATAAGATGACACCCTGCACATGCCACTCATGCCTTGCGCTGCTTCAAATCAAGGACAGGCCACGCCGCTTCAACCATACAATCGGAAACGACCATCACAAGCAAGCACAAAAACGAGAGGTGAAGAAGTGTACGAGAAGATACGTGGCTGCATCATATGATCCCGCACAGAACAAAAATGCAAGCGGCAAGTACACGCAGAAGGGCTCTACCGGCGTCTCACTGCCACCTAGAATTAAAGACGAAGTGATTCTTCATCACCCCCTGCCATGACGCCATTGGCGTGAGGCATGGGCTTGGGTGGCCCACCACGGCCACGACCACGGCCCCGACCGCGAGCTCGTCCACGCCCACGAACTGGCCCTGGCCCGGTAGGCACGCCGCCTGACACGGGATGGGCTGCCATGGCACCCCCGCGGCCCACGCCACCGGGCGGGCCACCACGACCGCGCATGGGCGCGCCGCGCGCTCTACCTCGCGCACGGCCACGACCGCGCCCGGCACCGGGACCGTCAGAACCAGTTCCGTCGATGCTCCCTCGGTGAGGCCCACCATTGTTGGCTGCAGGGCCGGGCACTCCCTTGTTTCCGCTCGCGGGGTTGAGAGGCCGGTGTGTCTGCTCTGGGGTGGCATAAAACGAGTCCAGCGGCGTGACTGCTCGCGTGCTGCCATTGCCAAAGACGGTGTCCGCAGAGCTCGCTGCTTCTGTGGTGTCTGAGGCCGAATCAGAAGGATCGTTCAGACTTGTCGAGTTGATGAGGGCTTGATCCAGATTGTTAATGTCCAAGGTGGCAGCGAGGCGTTTGCTGATGGCACCGGCGGAGGGAGGTGCACTATTGTGCAAGTTCAGCATGGGAGCAGAGCTTCGTCGACGATGATCATGCCCGTTGATGCCAGTGATGTCATCGTAGAGGACGCTGACGGGGCGGGTCGTGGCGCGGCGGCCACCCCGCAGCTTGGCATCCTGAGGAGCTGAATAGAGGTCCGGTGCTACGGCCACATTGACCGAATGACGACGGCGGCGAATGAGGGGCTCGTCGACGGGGACTTCATCGCCCTTGTTGATGGAAAGTGAGGTGGAGCGTGCGTTGAAATGCAGCTCCAGGCTATCAGAGATGGTAAGCTCGAGTCGTTTGTGGTCGTTTTGGCTGCGGAACACCGTATCGATACGCGTTACGAGCTCGATAAGACCGTCCACGTACAAGACATGATCGCCCTTGGACAACGCCTTGCTCTCCTTGTTGGAAGCCACGTGGATCACGAGCAGGCTGTCGCCCTGCGAGGTGCAGCTGACTCGCGTAATGGTGTCCGAATTGACGGGAATGTCGTACTTGAGGCGTAGCTTGTCATCCAGGATGAGCAGACGGTTGGCCGTGAGCACCACAAAGCGATCGACCAGCTGACCATTCGACCGATGCATCTTGCGCGCTGCGGAGGAGAAGAGGACCTTATCAATGTTGTGTTGTGTGGTCAGCTTGGCCCATTTGGAGGCCATGTCACCCTCGTGCAGGTGAGCGTAGTCACCCTTGAAGGGCAGGGGTACCGATTTGGGATAGGACAGCTTGCGGCCTTTGAAAAGCTTGGAGGCAAGGAGTTTGAGACGCAGGGCGTCGCGCTTGGAATTGGGTAGGCGATCACGATACAGTTTGCATCGCCAGTCATGGTAAAACTTGGCCATGGACTCTGCAGTGGCTCGAAACTTGGGCGCTGCACCAATCTGGCAAGGGGCAATGGGCGAGGCCGATGGCAGGTTGGCCGCGGCGGTTCGCAAAAAGGCTCGGCGCTGAAACTCGAGGAGTGCCTGCAGCACCACGGGGCCGGCGTTTTTGCGAAAGTGCTTGGCCATACGGCGACGCACGATCCAACCGCGGACGTGCTTAGTGATGACTACGGCGGCGCGAGCACGCGCCAGTGCCTCCATGTGCGCGGTGATTTGCTTGCGCTCGCGCCACATGCGCCAGTACGAGGTGATGAGGATAAGACCGTTACGGGTGTTATTGTACTTCTCGCGAGCCTTGAAGCCTTTGTAGCGGGACGCGATTGTGATGGCCGCGTTGCGCTTCTTCTGGTACTCGACACGGCACCGCCAACCCTTGTAGATGGCCTGAATCTTGGTGGTCAGCAAAATGACTTGGGCTCGACGAATGTCCTCCAACTTGAGCACGGTTTTGGGGTTGCGTAGGAAGACCTTGGAGCGCCCAAAGGTGTACTCAGACTTGGTCAGATCACAGCCGTCCTCAAGAATGTACTTGACGCCGTCGCGCGGTGAGCCCTTAAAGTTGGGCCAGGTCAGCCTCGACAGCATCTTGTAGCGCTCGATAAACTTGGCGTAGTCCATGCGAAAGGCGTAACCGGCACGACGCACGCGCAGGTTTTCGAGCAAACCCAGGTAGCGGACCTGATGGCGCAGGCGCTCCATGTTCACCAGGCGAGCCTGTTTCTTCTCATTGGGCTTGATGCAACGGATGTAGTGCGGATTCTTGGCCATGAGGTTGCTCATGAGGTCGCTAACAGATGACATAAACTGCTTGGAAAGCGACACCGGGCGTTTGCCGGCTGTCTGGCCTCCCAAAATCTGCCCATCCTTGAAAAGGGTTTTACCCAGGTTGTGGCGGCACGAATTGTACATGAACTGAGTCAGATCCTAAAACACGCATGCATAAACACGTTGGTGAAGGGAGCCTGTTTCGTTAAGCCGCAGAATCAAGGCGAAGCAAGGCCGATTCGCACGCGCACACGCACACACACACACACACACACACACACACACACACACACACACACACACACACACACACACACACACACACACACACACACACACACACACACAGGGAAAAAAAAGGGGGGCTCTGATGACATGCTTGCAATCCAAAGCGGCCATCGTACCGCGAAAAGAGCATCCTTGTTCTTGATGACAAAGCCTTGCACATTGTACGTGACTTTGCCGGCGTAGTGGACCAGGCGAAAATCTTCCCGGCCCATGGAACTATCCGAGTAGAAGCCGCTTTTGGCGCGGCTCTCGTAGTGGCGATGCTGAACAATTTTGTGAGTGCGATTGAGCGATTCGAGGAAGATGCCATCATCTTGATTGCCGGGGCGCAAGCAGGTGTCGTCAAGCATGGACATGATGCCGCCCTTGCCCTCGATGAGCTCGCAAATGACAGCATTGTCGAAATAGTCGATGTGAGTCCAGGGAATGCCTTCGCGCACGTACTCATCTTGCTCTTGCATGAGGACGAGCTCGATGAAAATTTGTTGCAGCTTCTCATTGCAGTAATTGATGATAAACTGCTCAAATGAGTTGTCGTCGAAAATCTCAAAGCCGTAAATGTCGAGAGTGGCAATACCACGCCGCTTCATCCGCTTGTTCTTGACGGCGATGGTTTTGTTCACCCGCTTGACCATCCATTCGAAAAGGCGCGCGTAAATGGCTTTACACAGAGCATCTCGATTGTCCCGTGCGTTGTCCTCGGAAAGTGTGGTCTCGACGACCTCGCGGCGCGTGGTAACTTTTCGCCTGAAAACAGAAGCGAGGTGGTGGAGCGCGAGTTGATTCGCGTGTGTGTGATTGAGAGAGCGAGATCGGACAGGAACATATGGGCACACGTGCAAAACACCCCGCAACAGTCAAGCAAACGCAAAGCTGAGATAAACAATCTTATGCAAATCGGATTCAATCAACGCTCACGTACACTTCGAGGACCTTGATGAGATCGGCCTCGTCGGCCTCCAGGAGTTGAGCCACGTAGCGCAAGCTGTCCGATTTCTTGACTTCACAGGCGTGGGTGCCGTTGGGCAGGCTGTAGCCACGAAAGTCAATGTTACCCAGGTGGAGAATGACGGCGATGAGGCTGAAGATTGATTGCCGCTCCTTGTCCGTCATTTCCATCACGCTAAAAGCCTCGAGCACGGTGCGAAACTCCTCGGCGTCGTCCATGGTAGGGAGCTTGTTACAACTGCTCTGACTGAGGTAAAAGTAGTCCTCTGCATTTCGTGTGAGGTGCAGGGTGCTGAGCGTTGCATCGTCGGCACCGCGCAAGAGCTGATAGAACACATGAAAATTGCGTTCGCCTTCTTGCTGATGCACGACGCGAGACTAAAAGGAAGAAGCAAAGGAGGCAAAAGCAAGGCGATAATTCCAAAGCCATCAGAGCAGATTAGCCAGAAAGTGGTGTGTCAATCGAGCCACGTGCCATACACCATCTGATGGGCTTTGAAACCGAACGAATGCGAAGGGGAGGGCGCACCTTTTCAAGAAGATAGTCGGTAATGACGCCGCCAATGGGGTCGCCGTTGTGATTGAACTGCATGTCCATGTACTTGCCAAAGCGTGAGGAGTTGTCGTTGCGATTGGTTTTAGCATTTCCAAAAGCCTCGAGAACAGGGTTGCATTTGAGCAGCTGGTCTTTGATTCTATCAATGTCGGTACCCTTGCCCGTGATTTCGGCAACGTAGCGCATGATGATTTTTGAGGCCTCGGTCTTGCCAGCCCCCGATTCACCGCTGATAATGACGCATTGGTCCTTGTTGTTATCGACCATGGAGCGATAGGCCTGGTCGGCGAGCGAGAAGATGTGAGGGGGCACCTCAAACTGGTTGCGACCGACGTAGTCGAGAATCATCTCGCGATCATAAATCTGCAGCTGTTTGTAAGGATTCACACTAATAATCACGTTGCCGATGTATGTCTGCGCAAAAAAATGACGAGCATGGGAGCGAGGAGCGGCAAGGTGAGCAGGTACACAAGCCCAGCGACAACGAGCTGTTTCTTTTTTTTTTTTTTAAAAAAAAAAAAGCGAGGGGGAGAAAAAATAGTAGCAGCAAGAGTCAGTCAGGTGGGATAGCCAAAGCGTACATAAATTTCGTCCTTGAGATAACGATCATGGAGGTTTTCGACGATGCCGTCTTCCGAGACATCCTCAAGCAAGACCATGTCAGCCACGCCCACGGGCTTTTTCATGCGGTTCAAAAGTTTGATACTCATGGCGGCGGTGGGCGCAGCGGAGACCGCAACAGGTGCGAGGCGTCAAGCGTTGAAAAAAGAGGGGTTCTACTACGTCGAACCAGGGCGCGCACACGATGAGGGCGTGAGTGACAAGGCCCACACAATTCGGCAAACCAAAGCATAAGACAGGTGCCCCCAGAAAAAAAAAAAAAATTTGAAAAAATGAAAAAGGAAAAAACGAAGAGGCAGAGGGACACACGAGAGAGAGCCAGAGGTTGATGGCACAAAAAGAAGGGCAATGGGGGGGTGCGGAGAAAAAGCAAAAGAGTAGAAGGGAGGGCGAAACACGGGAAAGAATGAGAGAGCCGGCAGTGCAGGACCCAGGCCAAAGCCACACACACACACAGAAAGGTTACAAAGGAATTCGTTTGACAAGTGAGAGGGGGAGAAGGCGGAGGGGAACAAGGCAGAGGGGAGAGATGGGATGGGATGACTGCTGGCCAACACCACAGGGCGGTGGGCCAAGCCATCCGCCTGGCCCTCGCGCACCCGGTGTTGCAGCAGAACAAGGAGCGAGCGCACCGAAGCAAGGGAGCCTTTGAACGAACACATTCAAAAGCATCAAGCAGGGGGGCGGGAACGGACATACCCGACGATGAAGAAACCGAGCGTATGGCAGGGGCGTCTTCTCAACCGCCCCAGCCGATCATCAGCACAAGCTAACTTGAGGGACGCGACCCGGTCGACGAGGATCGCAGAGGTGCCTCGAGGCACACACGCGCACGCACAGCTCTCTCGCACACAGAGAAGAGAGAGAGCGCGCGCGGAGAGAGAGAGCGGAGAGAGAGCGCGCGCGAAATGAGTTGTCGTCGCAAAATGGATGATGAGAGAGTGAGGAGGAAAGCGCGGGTCAAGTAGAGATGGTAGTGGGATAAGATGTTTATCTAGAGAAGTAATTCGGGTAGGAACTTGGTTTAGAGAAGAAGTTGAAGCCGTTGAGATTTGTTCTACAAATTAGAGCTATAAGAGAGATGTGTTGATTCTTTCCGTCCCAGTCAGAGATAAACAGCATTTTGTAGCGCATGATACAGGCACGACGCAACACCCCGATCAAAGTCAGAGACCATGACATTCCAACGTGAAGAAGCAAGAGAACAAAAGAAATTCAACATTTCGAAGAAAAAATTTCAAAACTCGTGTCCGTTCCTCTCTCTGTCTCTCTCTCTGTCTCTCTCTCTCTCTCTCTCTCTCTCTCTCTCTCTCTCTCTCTCTCTCTCTCTCTCTCTCTCTCTCTCTCTCTCTCTCTCTCTCTCTACTTCTGCTCTCTCTCTGTTTCTGCTCTCTCTCTCTCTCTCTCTCTCTCTCTCTCTATTCTCTCTCCCGTTCTTTCGGTCCTTTTGAGGGAAGAACCCAATGTCGCCGAAATGGCAAACGTATGTCTAATGTTTGCATCGAGGCGCGGGTAGACAGCGTCGTCGTGGACATGATGGCTGCGCGCTCACTCGAGCCGTGTTGATGCCTTTGGCCCCAATTGACAGTCACACATCCCTCTGCCGAGCCCCGAAATCACTTACAGTTTAGCACAAGTCCCCAAATAGAGGACGTCACCCTTCTGCCCCGGACGATTCGCAGCGACCTGCATCAGACGATAGAGCTGCCAATTCATCGAGTCCAGCCGATTCGTACGCTGCCTGAACCATTCATCTGCTCTTTGACTTCCCCCCTCCCTATGGCGTCGAGTTGATCATGAGGGAGAATACACGCAGAGCTGTCAGCTTTGCGCGCGCATACCGCGCGTGCGCTTTGGTCCGCCCCTCAGGGCTCGGCTGCATCAGGTTGCTCTGGTTCTCTTGCTTGCTCACGCTCTCGTGTACTCTCTCTTTTCTCATTTCACCTTCAGCCGCACTCTCTGGCTCAAGCTCTCTTTCCCTTCACGCCGTCGCTCGCACAGACCACAACTCTCTTCCAGTCCTTCTTGCTGACATTGTCTCTCTGCTCATTTTGCCCACCAAATGCCATGTCTCTGCGCTTTTCTTTTGCTTACGACGATTTTTGGTTGTGACAACACAAGCGGACTTGTTCGTCAGGTTGTTTGAATAGATTGGCCTCTATTTTTTAAAACTATATAATACAGCTTTTGTGTGTCAGAAGCAGTACATACGATTGCATGCGCGCAACAGCATGCATGCACTGGTGACGGCCGACTGACGAGGGCAGATACGCTTGGTTGACCTCGTGGTCCTGGGAGGTGGCTCAACGACGCCGCGAGCCTGGCGTGCGGCCCCGGCTCGACGTTTTGGCCGCTTTGGGCGTGAGTTCTAATAACATCGTTGACAGATCCATGCAAGCAGCCCACCCGTTAGAGAATGCCGCCACCTATGACAGAATGTTCGAGTTGGATGCTCACACGTACCAGAATCATCCTCCTCACGCTGCCGCAGAGACAGGAAGGTGGCCTAGGGTGACATGTTGTAAAAAGGTCAGGCAGAGGTGCAACGCAAACGCGAAAGCAGGAGCAACAAGAAGATGGCCCACGTCATCTCCTGCCCTCGGTCTTGCTTACCCGTAGCTGTTCGGCGTCATCCACAATGGCCTCGCCGTCATCATAGTAGTCAATGACATTGTCCACCAACAAGTCCACATCAGCCTCAAGATCGTCCAGACTATCATACGCTTGATCCATGGCCTTGGTCTACAACACCAGGTGGAGGCCAGGAATCAAGAGAATGAACACACACAACATCAACATCATGCCCCTGTGCTCCTCCCGGTAGCTTTCACGTGGTCCGTCTGATCTTTCCCGTTTACCTGGATATCGCGAAGTGAGATGGGCTTCCGTACGCGCTTGTAAAACCCCGGCTCCTCAGCTCGGGACGGGAGGTCCATCAGACTGGAACTCAGCACATGGCCATGCCTACCCAGCGAGTTGTTCGTACACTTTGAGAGAAGCACAACAACATGCTAGACAAGACAAGACAAGACAAGACAAGACTAGTGCCAACGCCGCCTCCCATTCCAAAGACCCGCGTGGCAGTTGTGTGGCTTGCGACGCCATGCAACCAGGGGCTGGTACAAACGGCACTCTTACCGATTCGTGGATGAGAGCAAGTCGTTGATGATGTTTTCCGCAGCCGTCACATCTGCGTCTCCGGAAATCAACGCAAATCGGCCCTGAGCCCGTTCACTCGTGTATAGCACACACAACTTGATTCGCAGCAAAATGTACAGGACCCCAAGAGCTAGCTCAAGCGCAGTCTGCTCACCCTCGGATGTAGCTGTGGTTTTCCCGTCCGCCTTGGCTCCGCCGCTGCGTGAGCGATGCTTGCGCTTGGCAGCACTTCGTTCGCGGGCCTCGTCCAGCGAACCGCTCTCTACCGCCTAAGTCCACGCGTGGCAATTGCGAATATTAAAAAAAAATAAAAAATAAAATAAAAAATAAAAAAGGATTGTAACACCGCAAATCAGGCACCAGCGGGAAAACACCAAGCCCACCTTGAGAAATTGCAACTCGGTGAGATCCTCGGCGTAGTTGACCTCCTTGCGGACCCGCGCCCCACGGCCATAATCCTCCATGGGCTTCTCCTGAGCTGCTTCCTCAATGGCCTTGGCCACCTAGAGCACCACAATTCCAGCCATGGCCATCAAGCAATAAGGCAATTGGTCAGCTCGGGCGCCGTCACTTGCTTGACGCATGCCCTTGGCCACGCCCGAGATAAGGCCCACGGACATGCATACCGAGTTTTCTGCATCAATCAAGCCGGCCGGCAGCTCGTCTCGGGCAAAGAGTCGAGTCTGTGGGCATCGCGAAACGGAGGTCACCGTTGAGCTCGCAACAGAGCCGAGGCAACGGGGCAACATCCAATTCAAGTCTTGCAATGCAATCCCCACCTGTCGACGATCCGAATGCCAGGCCTGATCGTTGTTGGCTATCTCCTCATCCATTTGCTAAAAAAAAAAATTCAAAAGCAGCTCCATGCCCCACATTAGCTCTACGCGCATTACCACAGTGTGGCGTGACCGGCCCGATGCATGAAGACCAAAAGCAAAAGACGTACCACGAACGCCTCCAACTCTTCATCCGAGCGCGCAAGCATGCGGTTGAGATCTTCGTGATCGGTCACGCCGGCCTCAATCTCATCGTCATCGTCATTGGCTTGCTGAATGATCTCCAGCAACATCTTCTTCGTGTCGTTCTCGTCCGCGGTTTGATTGAATTTGCCTGCCTGGATCACCTGCTGATCAACGTCGAGCTTTTCGCGCGCGCGCTCCAGCATGCGCTCTTCCACGCTCTGCACCGTAACCAGGCGGAACACGCGCACTTCCTTTGTCTGACCGATGCGATGAGCACGATCTTGTGCCTGTTGCGCCACGTATCGACGCAAAGTCGAAAACAAGTGTTCAAAACCAACCGGGCACGGGGTGCGATATTGTGGCAACATACATGAGCGACACGACCAGAGGAATATGGAGTCGGCCCTTGGCTGCACGGAGGACTTGGCGCACACAAAACCCCAGCACATGCGAGTTTTGGACACACACACACACCTGCAGATCCTGATGCGGATTCCAATCCGAGTCGAAGATAACCACGGTATCTGCGGTCTGCAAGTTCAGACCCAAACCACCAGCACGAGTGCTGAGGATGAAGATCTCCAGATCAGAATCAGGCGCGTTGAAATCGTGCAAGAGTTCGGCGCGCTTTGCGGCGCCACACGTGCCTGATGAAAAGGTCAATGATTCATCAGAGGGGCTATGAGGGCAACATGGCGGAAACGCCTGCTCATGATAAATACGAAGGAACCAGCAGATGGTCTTACCGTCCATGCGGCAATACTTGAGGCGACGATAGCGAAAGTAATCCTCCAAAATGTCCAGCATCGTGGTAAACTGGCTGAAGAGAAGGATGCGATGGCCAAAACGTCGCAGCTTGGGGATCATGTGGTCCAGCAGCTCGAGCTTGCCGGCCGTTCGCCACAGCTCGAGGCCATTGAGATTGGCCAAAGCCGTTGCAGCATCCTCGTGGCGCAGCAGCTCACTCTTGAGATCCTGCTCCACCTCCTTGAAGAGGAACGGGTGGCAGCAGAGCTTGCGCATCTGCATGACCACGTTTTGCAGGGAGCGGGCTTTGGTGGCATCAAGGGCCTCCATGTTGCTGCCCGATGTCGACTGCGTGCTGCTGGGAATGACGCCGTACTTTTGCATGCACACATAGAGTTTGCGCTGCAGAGCAGACATCTCACACTTGATGACGTGTTCAACCTATTGCAGGAGTGCATAATCGAGAAACCGGCGAAAGAATTGAGCAAAGTGATACCGAGCCAGCTAGCAAACGCTGCACACGTATTGTATCTTCAGAGCTCGGACCTTATCCGGTAATTGCGTCTCGACCTCCTTCTTCAAGCGGCGCAGCAAGAAGGGCCGAAGGATCTTGTGCAGCTGCAAAATGATGAGCTGCTTCTCTTCGGCATCCAATTCCACGTTCTCACTTGTCTCGGCGAAGGGCGCAGAAAACCACTACCGAGCAAGGCATAGCAACGGGACTGAAAGTTAGCGAGAAAGGCGTTCCGCAAGCATTGCAAGGGGCATTATCACTGGCCGACTGGTTCACCGCATACCGAGTCAAAGGTGTCACTCGAATTGAAGACGTCGGGCAAGATAAAGTTGAGGAGGGACCACAATTCAGGAAGGCTATTCTGCAGCGGAGTGCCGGTCAACAGGAGTCGACGTGGCGCGCTAAAATAGTGCATCAGCGTCTGCGAGAGCTTGTTCTTGGAATTCTTCATGCGGTGGCCCTCATCAATGATCATGTAGCGCCAGGAAATCTGTCAGTAGGCACGGCACGGGCAATGTCATGAGCGGGCGCGGCTCCACCCCTCACGTCAACGACGCGAGCATACGCACACAAGCACACACATAAACAAGCTCAGGCTGGACTCGGTTTCACGCCCGAAAACCATGACAAGTCATGACAACATTGAAACATGCCTTGGAGAGGAGGGCGCGGTCTTTGATAATCATTTCATAGGTGGTGAGCAGCACGTTAAAGCGCACGTCCTTGATCTGTTGGTGGAAGACACGACGCTCCACCTTGTTGCCACGGTAGGCGACGGTCACAAGTGACGGCGCCCATCTTGATATCACGATCCATCGCAGCAGCAGCAGCAGCAGCAACGCGTCAGTTGAAAGATAAGATGAACAAGCTGCCCACGAAAAGAGCTCGACCCCTGTTCTGCGCCAGCAGAGGTGTGGCAAAAGAACGGCAGGATACGGGCCACAACGCTAGCGGAAGGGGTATCTTACTTGGCCAACTCGAGGCGCCAGTTGGAAAGAGTAGCAAGCGGCACAATGACGAGGAAAGGCCCCGAATTGTTCTTCTTCTCAACGAGGTAGGTCAAGAGGGCGATTGTTTGGATGGTTTTGCCGAGACCCATTTCATCTGCCAAAATGCCATTGATGCGGTTGTTGTAGAGAGAGACGAGCCAACGAAGGCCGTACATCTGATATGGCTTGAGTTTGCCGCCCACCAGGATGGTGGGCTGCTCCTCAATATCTTCTTGAACCACATGGGCATCAAACTTGGCCTTGAGGGCGGCCTCGGCTCCGGCCTTGACCTCCTCGCTTGCGCCGGCATTTGAGCTCTCAGCAGCTGCTGCCAAAGTAGCAGCGTCCGAAACCTGATTCGCCAAAACAACGAGCATCAGAATGCAATTTCATATTCAAAAGGTGATGGACGACGTTCTGACCTGGCCTTCATCGCGGGCACGCTCCTGCTGCTGGTGAGCGTCGATGAGTTTGTTGACGACCCGCATGCGTTCGTCAATCTTGTCCAGGAGAATGCGCTTGCGACTGTCCTTCTGCTCATCCAAGAGCCGCAGATAGCCTTCCGTATCTTGATCCTGACAAAAACCATTGGGTTACCACAAATTCATGCAAAGCGAGGGGTAGACGAGAGTGAAGGCTGTGGTTCAGGCTTGGATCGTGCACCCACGAGCAGATCGAAAACGTGCAGCAGACACAGACCATGAGTAGACGGAGACGCTCCTTCTCCAAACGTTCGCGCTCGAGCTGGGCGCGGCGATCCTTGGCCTTGACCGCTTTGTCAGCATCTGCAACCAATGCAGACAACCGGGTGCGCACGTTGGCGTGGAAAGCCCTGGAAAGTATCAGATGAAAAGGCGCAGATGAGCAAGTGGCCGCCACTGGACATGAGAAGAGGGTCAAAAAAAAAAAAAAAATAGGCGAGAAAGAGGAGGAAGACTTGTGGCACTTGACCGGGTGGGCACGCACAAGAATTTTCGACGGTGGTCCATGAGAATGTCAAGCTGAGAGCGATGGCGCTCTTTCTCGGCCTCGCGCTCGCGCTCTTGCTTAAAGCGCTCCTCTTTGGCTGTCAAGGCAGCCTGTGGGTGTACAGCAGGCAAGGAGTGTCAAAAAATAAAAAGAGGGAACGGGGACAAGAATGAGGCGTTAAGAAGTCCTGGGTGAGGAGAACCCTGATAAATGCCATCAGCTTGCGCCGGTGAATGCTTACATCGCGCATGAAGACGCGGCGATTTCGCCAGAGGGTACCACGGCGATAAGCGGTAATGGGAGTGGTGTTGTGGTGCATGAAGCGCTCCAGGTCCGCGCGCATCTGTGGTCCGTGGCGCGATTAGGTGAGATGTGGCTCAGAGGTGCTGCGGAGGTCGAGGTGGGCGCTCGAGCTAGCACGCCCATTAAATGATGCATGGACGCAAACATGGCATTGCAAACTGAAAAGCCAGGTGCACGTACGGCACTTTGAAAATCCTTCAGGCGAAGCATGTGCAGCTCCTTGAGGGCCTGAACTTGATGATCGAGGGCGACACGGGAGGAAAGGTTTTGGAGTTCGTTGACGCGAAAGGAGACACGGGAGGCAAGCTGAAACTCGGCACTGCGCAGCGCGGCTTTGTAGGAAGCAGCAAAGGCTTTGGGCGGTGTGGCCACCACAATCTATGGGGAAGAGGCGGGAGGCAAGCGTCATGTGTGATGTGCAAGCGTAGAAAAGAGGCATGCCGGGCGCACAGCCCTTCTCGCAGCCGTACCTGGTCAGCCTCTGGGTCTTCCTGGGCCAAGTTATTTGGATAAAGATTGCGCGCCAGTTGGCGATACTGTAAGAGTTGGCGGCGCAGGCGTACGGTGCGAGCAGTTTCGTCGCCTTCATCTGAACGGCCAAGCTGGGCCGGTGTCGCCGAGCTGACAGGCGTCGGGGTGGATGCGGGATCAGAGCCCGACGAAGCAACGACGCGCAGCCGGAGCATGTCGAAGAGCATACGGCGTGCATTCTCAGGCAGTTCAGTCTGCTGCAAGGACTCGTTCAGCTATAGCCGTGCAAAAAAACGCGGGGGCGGGAGAATGCTATCATCAGGTCTCGCGTCGGGAGCACGAGCCAGGCGTGGCGGTTTGGGACAGGGCGGTCATACCTCTGCGACGGCAGCTGGATCGCGAACATCAATGGTCTCCAGGACCCGCTCCAGGGCAGCGTAGGTTTTGGCGGCTGTAAGACTGCGGCGCCTTTGGTCGGTCTGCTTGCCAAGAGGGTTGGACGTGTCAACCTGAACGCGATAGATGTCGGCGGCATCGTGGGAGAGCAGAGGCTGCAACTGCACCACACCACGGAGCGCAAATGAGTCCCAAAAGTTGAATGGAGAAGAAGACGGCCACGGAGAGGGCGTGCTTGTGCACATGCGCGTGCTTGAGTCCGGGAGCTCACCTCAGTTGGGACGCCAGCGCCCTGGGTGCCAGCCACGCTGGGCTCCCCGCCCAAGGCTGCACTCATTGTGCCTATCCCCGCCCAGACTACCACGGCCCAGCAACCACAGCCCACGATCCCTCGCACACCCACCAACACACTGTGCCCTCGGCTGAATCACTCAAACCCGTCTTCGAGGACCCGCAGGAGGCGAGCAAGATGAGAGCCACAGTCGCCTCTCTGCTCCCTCCCTTCATCGATTCTAAAAAAAAGTGACCGTTAGCTCTCTCGCTCTCTCTCTCTCTCTCTCTCTCTCTCTCTCTCTCTCTCTTTGTCGCCAGCACCGGAATACATGTTGACAACAGGTGTTGTATCGGGTTAAACGAGTGTGGGTTTTCGAATGGTTCTCCTGCTGTTTATGATGATGCAACTATACAAATTTCGGCTGTGGTGACATGAAGGAAAAGAACCGTTATATCGCTATGCCGGCTTTTGTCGATCAAATTAGCTCAAGTGGGGATTGAAGGAAAAGATTGGAAACGATACCGCGGCCGACGAGTCGGCCACCAGATATGAGAGCCCCACATTGCCTCGCTGCTGCCTCACTGCAGCAGGAAAAAAAAAAAAAGGACAGTGACCCACACGACCGTGAAAGGAAGACACAGGCGGTGGAACTTTAGCTTGAGAATGGGGGTGTGTGCGAAAACGAATGAGGCAAGCCCGCTTGGCGGAATCACCCATCGCTAACAACACGTTTTAAAACCAAGTGCGCCAACACCACCAAGGCAAGCCGTGCCCATGGCAGAAGTTGTTGACGCCGGGTTTCAGAAGAAGGCAAAGGAAAAGACAAACAACAAGCAAAAGGAGAAAACAGGAGCGCAAGGGTATCACACCACAAATACACAACACACGATGACAGCAGGAGGGCAGCGCAGCAGTCAAACACAACGCGCCTCTGACAAGCGGATGACTCGACCACCTCCAAGCTAGGCAGCTCATCGATAAACAATGGCTAATTTGTTCATCAATGGCAGGGACACGACAAGGCCATGCAAGCTGATTGCTGGCCAGCTTCAGGCGCAGAAGGGCGGTTCAGATGCAGACACACACAAGTCAGGGTGTCACAATGTCATCGGCTGGCCAGAGCAGCTAACAGTGGCTGTACACGACAGCTATTCACACCATGCTCCCCCGCTCCGCCAGAAAAAACAAAGAATCAACACAAGGAGATGTTGATAGCTCACATGACTCCTGCTCGGTTAAAAGCGTCACGAGACCACTTTAAATGTCATCGAGATCGCCGAGGTCGAGGTCATCGTCCTCGTCGTCCTCGTCGCTGTCGCCATTGTTCAGCTGATCATCCTCGTCCACATCCTGGAAGAGGATGGCATCGCCATCGTCCTCGTTGAACGTCTCACCCTCGTTGATCTTGGCCTCGGGAGGGAGCTCACCGTGAGACTTGAGCTCACGGGCCTCATCGGCGTTGTACTTGGCAATGACGTCGCACTTGGAATCTTGAAAGTCACGCAGACCAATCAGGATGATATCGCCCGTGTTGATCCAAACTTTCTTGCGCATCTTGCCACGGATGTGACCGAGACGAGTTTCGCCATCAAAGCAGAAGCATTCAACGCGGCCGTTTCCGAGCATGCGGACGACCTGGGCATATTCCTGGCCTTCCTCCTTGAAGATGAGCTGACGCTTGTCAGGCTCGTTTTGGTTCTTTCCGCGACGGCGGTTCTTTCCTCCCTTTCCCTTATTCTTCGGCATTGCGGCGGTGGTAAAAACGAGCAAGTCTGCACACAAGGGCGACGGAGCAAGAAGCCAGAAGGAAGTGAGCTGAAGGAAAGAAAAGAACTCCACATATACAAGACGAGACGAGATAAGAAGGCAGCTGGCACGGATGCAGGCAGCAGAGACTGCGACGCGAGCAAGGGCCAGCCGAGGCGAATCGGCAGAGCATGTGTCAAAAGATAACGAGTCTGGGACGCCAATGTTTTGAAGGTTGTGTCGGACACGTGATGCACAAGGGTGCACCGAGGGAGACAGAGACGGACAGACAGATGGACAGACAGGCAAACAGAGACGTAACACATGCACCGACACGGACGGATGCGCGCACAGGCTTGTCCAAGGGAACTCGGCTCATCAGTGGGCGCTGCGCTGGAGCTGTTGTTGCAGAGGTGGTGGTGGCCTTACCGGTTGCAAGTGAAAACTGCCCGGCTCCTCGTCACCTCTCTCGTTTTTGTCAAAGAGGGACGCCTTCCTCTGAGTTTCATTCCGAGAGAGCCGCAATCTCTGCCACGGCTCCGCTTTTGCTTGCTAGAATTTGATCTGACGTGTTGTGTCTCTTCCGTGGGAAGAGGTGCTTGTACGCTCTCTCCCCAGACCGCGTCACTACCTCCCTGTCTTTAGCACCCCATGTGGAGAAGTGCCAACAACTGTTGTGCACCGATTATCACTCTTCTTCAACACAACCTAAAGCCCGTACAACTACTGTTGCCAACAGTCGATCAACTTGCATAACTCTGAAACTACCCGAACAACGTATGTTGACTTGACATGTTGTCCAGTCTTGCTGACATTCGCAAATGTGTTGCCAATCAGTGTTGTGCCCGGTAGGCTCGCGTAGGCGCGGCCGGCCACGCCCCCCTTGATCGACGAATGGCAGCGCACCGTCTGTGTGGCTGGCGGCGCCTGGAATGACGCCAGCTTCAACCGACTCTCTTTTTGTTTGGATTGGCTTCTTAGACAAGAGCGAAGTGGACATGCAGAGCCACCAAGAGTTGTTCAAAGCTAGTGCTTCAAACACGAGGCCGAGATGAGCTGCCTACCACAACGCGCGTTGCCAAGCCAAGTCGAATGGCAATACCATCAATCGCAGATGCCTCAAGAGCCACAAGGACAGCCATGATGAGAGCCGGCCATCCCGTGTTGCTGCCCCAGACATCCACGCCGGCTCAACTCAACCACCTCGCACCCCGCCGCCATCTTCGCCGCAACCGCATTGTCGATTGTCGATTAGCATGAAGTTTTTTGGTTGTGTCACTCCCTCCCTATTTGCATCTTGGCGCCAATTCAATTGTTCAGCAAATTTTCATCTCTCTCTCTCTTTCTCTTTCTTTCTCTCTCTCTCTCTCTCTCTCTCTCTCTCTCTCTCTCTCTCTCTCTCTCTCTCTCTCTCTCTCTCTCTCTCTCTCATCTCTCTCTCATCTCTCTCTCTCTCTCTCTCTCTCTCTCTCTCTCTCTCTCTCTCTCTCTCTCTCTCTCTCTCTCTCTCTCATCTCTCTCTCATCTCTCTCTCTCTCTGAACAAATTCTAATTTTTTTCCGCGCAAATCTTGTGAAGTTGGCAATGCCGTATCCCGCAATGCCGGGTGGTGCTGCTGATGCTTGACCCCTCAGCCACACACACACGCAATACATACATTCTCATACGCATACATACACGCGCGTGTGCGCGCGCAGAGGCACGACCCCACGGTCGCGCATTCTTGGTGCCGCGTTGTGCTCAGAGGGCAAGAGAGAACAGGACGACTGACCGGCACGATGATGGCCGCCATGCCCATCGCTGATGTGCATCCGGTACACGACCTGCACCTCCGGCAACAACAGCAACAGCAACAGCAACGCCAGCGCAACTGCTTTCAGTTTCCCACCAAAATCATCCTGCTTCTCGTCATTGGCTTCATCTACCTCTTTGTGGGGGGTGCCGTCATGTCCAGCCTCGAGATTGATTCGGAACGCCGCGCCGAAACGACGGTCAGACCCGACACCGCCGTTTCTCGTCAACACTCTCGCCTTGACCCGCATGCTCACCCAGTTGCCCGCCTCTGCCGGTCGGCCTTCGCCGTGCCATAGTTTGCCAACATGATCACCGATGCGCTTGCTGAAGCCAACCTGTCTAGCGAACAGTCATTGCGAGTGCGCACCCTCATCTCGGACCTCGACAGCCTACGACGCTCCGTCGTCACGCACGGCCGTGAAGACTGGACCTTTGCTGGCTCTGTGTATTACTGCCTCACCGTGGTCACCACCATCGGCTATGGCTGGATGGCCCCCAAAACCATTGGTGGACAAATCTTTTCCATCTTCTATTCCATCATTGGCATTCCCCTCGTGTTCTACATGTTTGCCTACCTGGGCCGCAAGATCATGGACATTATCGGCTTTCGCATTGCCAGGCACGCCGTCGCCCTCTCGCTCCCCCTTGTTTTTGTTTTGTTTTGTTTTGTTTTGTTTTTGCCACACGAGCTCGCACCTGGTCCTCTTGGCCGCCTTTCCGTTGCTTCGACCCCGCTTGTGCACCTCATGATCCATCGGCCCGGCCCGTGTGCAGCTTGCGGGAGGGCAAGGAATTCAAGCGCAAGCAGCTTCAGGATGACTCGGTCATCTTGCCTTTTGTCGTAGCCGTCCTCATTGCCACCGTCCTCATTTGTGCCTTTGCTGCCATTTACTTTCAAGAGTCAGTGCCACACTCACTTTTGCGCATGCATAGCCCCTTCCCCTCCAACTCCGGTCCTGCTGACTCTCGATGCCCGGAGCATCGTCGCTCATTGACCGCCCTTCCTCTTGCCATGGTCTTACTCAGAGAGGGTTGGAGCTATTTTGAAAGCGTTTACTTTGTATTTATTACCATGACCACCATTGGCTTTGGTGACTACGTCCCGGTTGGCCGCCTCGCCCCCTGCTCGCGCCGGCCCGCCAGGCAACAGCTTCAAATCGTATCTCATCCTATGACATTGCTTGTCTCGTGCACACCCTTCACCCGCGCCCGCACCATGTCTCAGAACTTTGACGACCGTTGGTGGCCCTTGGTTCTCTATGTGGCCGGTATCTTTTTGGCCCTTAGCGTGTACTCATATCTGCTCAACGTCGCCATTGTCCTCTTCACTAAGTGCGTGCAGTTGACATGCTCGTGCGACTAGACTGGCCTGCCAATCGCTTTCTTTGATTTGTTTTGGGGGTATCAAGTGCTTTCTTTGACTGACGCAATGGCAATCCGACAGAATGATCGAGTCCATGGCCGAAGCTGGCGTCAGTGCCATGGACGTAGCTGGCCAAGGCCACGTATCTCCGCTCGACGCAAGTGCCGCCACTCTTTCCCGTTACTCGTTGGCCACCCAAGCTTGCAAAACCGGCTGTTTCGACCCACTCATCTGGACCTTCCGCAAACCTTAGGTTTTGACATACATCATCGGGCAAACCAAGGCGAAGCGCCGCGAGTTTCAGACGCGCAGCATTTTATACCCATTCCTACACGGCAACCTTGATCGCGTTGACAAAGCGAGCTTACTGACAGTCTGGGGACTTTTCCTGCATAACACTACTCGCCAGCACTTTCGCATGGCCAAGAATATCACGCTCATGGTCGTCCTTGGTGCGTGATGGGCGAGAGTAACCACCCGGTTCTGCTGGAAAATTATTCTGCCCCGCTATCGTTGTTTTAAAAAGACAATGACGGTGCGCTGTGCTGTGCTCACTCGTCTCCTCGGGCTATGGTCGTATCTCTTGATTAGGTGGTCCGGGCTCGGGCAAGTCGACCATCTGCAAAGCCCTGGCTACACACGACAACGTGGTGCACATTTCGGTCAGTGATGTTTCGATTTCCGGACGCCCGTTACTGGCCCGGCATGTTAGTCGTGGCCGCTGACTTTTTTCGTGTCTGAATACATGCTGGCGACACCTTTGGTGTGTGGACAGGCCGAGGAGCTAGTGTTGTTAGAGATGGCGGAAGACACGTTTCAAGCCAAAGTCATCCGCGCTGCTGTTCAAGAAGGCTTCTTGCTGCCCGATGGCTTGCTTGAGAGCCTTCTGCGCAAGGCTTTGAGTCATGTACCGGACAATTGTACCGTCTTGCTTGAGGGTTGCCCCTTGAATGTGGCACAAGCAGAGCTTTTAGATCAACAGGTTGGTCTTGCTCGTTTTTAAAGCCCGAGTCTGCTTTCTCGAGACCTGGCCCGCTTTCCCGCCGAATCGCAGGCCCACGTTTCCTTTTTTGGTTCTCTCTTCTTTTATTTTTCTTTGCTTTTCAGTGTATTTTTTCCTTCCTTTTGTTCAAAGCCCTTTCTTGATTGCTCCCCCTCCTGCCTGAGATGGCCTCTCCGCACGCTGTCCCAAAGCTAACAACAATCACTTCTCCTTTGGTTGGCAGTTCAAGTTGGTGGAGCGGGCCCTATATTGTGCCGCATCAGAGGATGTCATGGCTGAGCGCTTTTTGCGCGTGCATCCACTTGCTGGGATTCGCAACTTTTTGTCCCGGCCGCAACTGAGCGACAGTCATTTAAACCAGCATTTGCCGGATGAGCATGCCATCTTGATGGATGAGTTTCACACAATTCCCGTGATGGACGCCATGGATCCGCACGGGCAGTGGCGGCTACGCAAGTCTCCCGAGGAATTTCCACACATGGCCAACTCCAGCAGCACAACCAGTACGAGCACGGCCACTTCGGATGCTTGGACGGCAACGCGCTTGGTGAGCACATCATCGGCCTCTGGGGCGGGGCTAGCGCCTCCAAGCATAATGGTGGAGGGCGATGGCAGTGCCAGCACAACGCATGGGCCGTCGCGGGCACGCACCGACAGTACGCGTTTTGGGAGTGAGGACACAGATTTGGACGCTTCGCATGTATTCACGGGGCGTGCGGAGCGACCGGGGACCGTGACCTCGACGTCCCCCTCGCTCAGCCATCTGGACCACCTTTTGAGCCGAGTGCGGAACCAGGCCCCACCGCGCAAGAAACTGTTTAGTGGTTCGGCCACCAAGGTACAGCAGAGCTTGGACACCGTGCGGCGGGCCTTGGTTGACATGCCGCATTTGCCCTTTGTGTCACCACAAGAGCAGAATGAGGTACGTTGTTGGAGGCGGCGCGTGGGCCCTCTCGCTCTGGTGTACATTTTATGCGCTCGCGCACCGACGTGCCACCATGGAGACGGCGTCGGGGGGCCTGCTGTGTAGATGCGTGGAGGGAAGATGCTGTTGCTTAACTTGGCTGACAAGGATCGTGTGGGTTGTGCTGCCGTGTTTGCTTGACCCGCAGATTTTTGGTCACCTTCTCTATCAGTTTCGGGCCAGCCGAGACGTGTTGTTGGAGTACTATCGGGACCGTTTGTTCGTGGTGGACGCTGACGTGGAACTGGACGACATGGTGAAGCAGGCCACCGCAGCGTTTACCTCCGAGGCTGAAAACTCGGTGCCCGAAGATTTTTTGACGGGCCACGGGTTCAGCGTGCGCCCCACGGCCGGTCTGCCCTTTCGACGAGTGGACTCGCTGGGTCGGGTGCGTGTGAGTATGGAGCGCGTGGGCAGTACCACGTCCCTTCCAGACTTGTCCGAGTCCACGACCCACCTGCCGCCTGGAACGAGCAGCAAGGCTGGGGGTCGGCGATCATCCAGCAACTCGGTGGCGCACTCACGGCAAGCATCGCGCCCCGTGTCACGCCACAACTCGGGAGCGTCGCATCGCGGTGGCACCGGGGTGCACCACCGCGGCATAGCTCTCTCCAACGGCGAAAGTATAGGCAGCCTGGTGGAGGAGGAGCGACGATAAGACCAAGTCGGTGGCGAAGCGAAACGGCGGGGTCGGCTCTGTTCTTGAAGGTTTCGCGCTGAGCGGGAGGCTGCTGCGCAGCAATGTCCAAAATCTTGAAACGGCTTGACACTGCTTTTTGGTGCGCATGACGTATTATGTGTCACAAAACCAAATCAAATCGATTTTTTTTTTCTGTTACAGTTTCTTCGGGCTCATAGGGCTCTGCGCCCATTTATAATTTCGCAGGAAAAGGGGCTCGCACACCTGTCCCACACATTGCAGAAAGGATCTCCTCGAGTTGGTGGGTGCTGCAAAAAATGAAGAAGAATCCGACCCACGGGTGCTGACGTCAGCCACGTCAACAGGGATGCCAAATGTATTGCGATGTATTGCGGTCCTCTGATAACAGTGCTGCAAGAGTTGTCTTTACTCACAGCCGGTGTGTAGGTGATTCTGTGAAACAGGTTTAACCACCGCCAAGCCCCCACGCTAACGGGAACTTCACATTCAGTATCCGAAAGGACACAGAGTGACAGACCACAGGAATGGGGGGTGACGTTACTTCTTCACCAAATCCCTCTGGTTGTGTTGTGATCCAAAGAACCGCGCGATCGCCGGTGTGCGCACAAGCGCTCGAGCACGCAATGAGCACAGAACAGGTCTTCAAACTCGTATTCGTTTTGCTCGTACAAGGTATTTATTGACCTCACTTCACCTCTTCAACGCAATACCTCTCGTCTTCCTAATAAATTAGACGAACAATCTCACTCACACGCGCGCATTCACCGGTATGACCGTGGTAGCACTTGGCCTGCCCCTCGGATTGGCGTAGGGCTTCTACGACCCATTGAGGCTCCATACTTGCGCCATCATTCGTAAGAACGCGTCAACTGAACCCCGCGATTTTCAAAGACATCAGTATCAGTAAGGGCCACGTCAGTCTCAGTGTAAGACTGCACCATGCCTGCCAACATGTTATGGAACATGAAGCTTTCTCAAGGCCGCATACACGCAAACACAACGCGCGCACACACCGACGCCCAAGCTCGCTCTCGATCGATTTTCTTGCGCGCTGCTTGACCGGCAGCGCTCAAGCAACGTGACCGCCTTCGGAATCGAAAGATCAACCAAGCAAGAAACCAATCCCATTCTGTTGCGATTACCGCTGCCTGCAACACAAACCTAGCGCTCACGCGCTCTCACAGCTTTTCACTCAACAAAGGAAACAAGATTGTCTTTTTTACCGAAAGAATTACAGTGTGTGTGTGTCACAGACAAATACATTGTCAACTTGGTCAACTTGGTCCTCCAACAAAGTTGTAGGTCGAGCGGTCAATTCAATCCACCCAGACAAAAACCGACCAGACAAAAGACAAAAGACGGTTGTTGACGTACTTTTTCCCAACAACCAGCCGTACCTGACGTCATCAGATCAATCCCATAGGGCTCAACCCACAGCCTCGGGATCATCCCGTGACCTGTCCAACCTTGCGTCTCTTTTGAGTCTGAAACATGTCACGTTGCCGTCGGCGCCTGACCCCTCCACGACGTGCGCAAAGCTCCCAAGGTCTGGCCGTTCCGCCCTGTCCCCCTTCGCCACCCACACAATCCCCCCTCCCCCCTAACCCTGTTTACCCCCGTTGTCCCGTGGGCCAATCCCTGCTTTGACTGATTTTTGAAACGCTGTGATTTGGTACTTGCTACCTCGCTCTTCTTTCTTCCCCGCACACACGCTGTGCATACACTGTGGTTTGAGCTAATGCCCTCAAACGCGCGCGCCGGACTTCTGCGGCCCCAACCAGTCTCCCGCATCCCTCCACGTCAACCTCCCGGCCCCGTGCCTGCTCCCGCCAACCCCGTCCCCAACCCTCTATTGGCTTTGGTCCGCCGCCGCTGGTCCAGCTCCACCTGGTCATTTTTCTTCTCGACCCCGACTCAAAACACAGCCAAACTTGTTCCGCTTTTTCCTCTGAATAGCAAACGGCAGCCTCCCTCCCCGATCTTCAAGCACACCTTTGACTTGAACAGCGCCTTGGCCCCGACTCTCTCTTTCAAGCATCAGCCCATCACCATTTCAACCTTCAAGCCGGTCAGTCCCTCTTGATCCCGCCTCCGGCACCAAAGGGCAGCCAGCCACCATCTGCAACCAACAGCAGTCAAGGCGCGACACGCTCACCCCATGACCCACACACCACCCACCATCACATCGCCATCGCCGATCGATCTCCCCCGCTCCATCTCCCCCACCCGACGTCCACAACGTTGTTGACTGCGCAACCCCGCGCGCGTCCCCCCCGGGGCCTGAAGACTCCAGTTTCAACGCGTCTCCTACCATGCTGTCCACACACTCAACATTAAAACAAAAACAGCAACAAACATCCACAACCACAGTTTTCCGCCTGGGCGCGTTTCTCATTTTCTCGCTCGCCATTATCCACCCCAACAGCAGCAGCGCATCGTCACTACTCTATTGAATGTTGATTGCATGACGCTGCCATCTTGGATCATCCCAGAGCACACCTCCTCTCGACTCGGAGACGATTTTGGGGCTAGAGCATCTTGCGACCGCCCATCATGTCCAAGGTGTTTTGCAAGCACTGCAGCGCGTCATTTTCTCGTCGCCCCCACCTCACCCGTACGTTGCATGCCCGCGGTCCCGGAGATGCCTGCTACCGCTCAAACCTGGCGTTGGGGGTGATGGAATCGTTTAAATCGATGGCAAGCTCATGTCCGCCACCGCCGCCCACAGGTCATATTCGCACCGTTCATGAGACCAATCACACCTTTGTCTGCAAGGACTGTGGCCGCGGTTTTGCGCGTCGCGACCACTATGAGTACCACATTGTCAGCCACTCGGACACGGCCGCCTACCAATGTGGCACTTGCAACAAAACTTTCAAGCGCCCCGCTGCACTCCGCCGTACGTTAAACCGAATCATGCATATATCGAAACAAGACGGGTGCAACAGGGCAAACAACCGGCCGCTCGCTTGCACCAACTACCTACTGTGCAAAATGCCCTTACACGCACACACTCTTCAGGCCATGAGCGCTGCGTCCACAAGAAAGGCTCGGAGCGCTTAGTCATTGGCCCTGCATCGGCCAACAGCACTGCGCTTCCACGCAAGAAGAAGCCCGCTAGCCTGGCCCCCAAGTTGGAGCACGAGGCGTCGGGAGCAGCAGACGCCTCGCTGACCATTGGCGGGGCGCACGCTCCCATGATTCCCAACATGGCCAATGCTATGCCCCCCGCTTGGATAAACTTCCAACCACACTTGGCCTGGGACAACCTGCCCAACCCACCCATGAACATGCCCCCGCTCCCTACTTCTGCCTCCGCGGCTGCCGCCGCAGCCCCCTCCCCGCTCGCAACGCTGGTCGATCCTTATGGTCAGCATTGGCGCATGGCAGAACCAAATGGAGGCATGCATGCGGCAGCGTCGCAGCATCAAGCACTGATGCCCGTGGCCGCAAGCGCCACACCAGCTCAATACGGTCAGCAAGTCGACCCGGCATCACTGTTGCCCTCACATGGCCAAGGACCGGCGCCCTGGGATGTCGATTTGTATCATCCCATGCGCGAGCTGCTCGACAGCGACCTCAATCTCAACCTCGATCTGCAGAATGACATGCCGAATATGGGTCGGGATGCAATGCTTGCGAGCGCGCAAGCCCTTCCGACGACCAGCCAGGCGGTTGCCCCTGATCTACACAGCCTTCTCGGAATGCGCGTCGATCAGGGGGACCCTGCACTCGCAACCCCTCAATTTCCGGTCACAGTGCAAGATCAAGTCAACCTCCTCCTTGAATCAGCTGTTCGCTTGCTACAAAATCGCAGCGCGCCAGCCTCAGCCTCAGGAGGCGCGTAAAGAGCTGCCGTTGTGCCATCATCTCCTCGCGGTTTCTCTTTCTGCCTGTTGCTTGTGTGTCAGCCTCGTGCATCGGCGCTGTGCGCCTGCATACATGACATCTTTGTTGTATGAATTCCCAAGCTTGCTTTGTATTTGATTTTGTTTTTGGTTTCTCGACTGTAGTCGAGTCGAGCGTTGATCCGCCTTTTATCTTATGTAGCTGCCTCTTTAGTTTTCTTCTCATTTGAAGCATCGGCAAAGTCACCCTCGTCGTGACTGATTTTGGTCCTTCCTGGCGGTGCTTGCCATGTTGATCCTTCTCCTCCTTCCTTGTGTCACCCAAAAGCCGGGTGGGCTTGAGCTCACACCTTGCTTTTTGTTGCATTGATTGACCTTTCATTTTTGCCCTCGGTTCCGCGCAGCCGTGCCACCGTGTGTCGCCCCAGGCGGGCGTATAACTCTCTTCCTCTTTTTTGTCTCTTTCCTTTTTTCTTCGGTTTCTGTTCTTCTTGCTCCGCATAGCGCGCACTTCGTCTTTCGTGAGCAATTGAGCAATCGACTCAGATCAATGATGCTCACTCAAGAGAAGAACCCACACACCCTAAATGTGGCCCGACCAAAGGCAAATGACAATGACGTTTCATTCAACTGGATGGGCACACGCCGCTGTGGAGGCTCTGCAAACGCCGAGTCTGGGCTGGTGCGCGCTGAGCTCTCACATCACCATCTTAACCATGCCCTTCTTGGCCTGCTTACGCTGCATGCGCTTCTTTTGCTTCTCCTATAAAGGCAGCAGACATTCCAATCAGACTCGTTCCAACTTGAAAAGCACGTAACATGTAGACCGAGGCCAAAGTACCTCAAACTTGGCGAAAGCAGCTTCGCCCTGCTTTTGAGCCTCCAGCTTTTGCTTGACACGACGATCTTGTCCGTCCAAGTGCTGCTTCTACACGCACAGAAGCCGATCGAGCAAACCCAAGTCAGCTGACGAGCCACGCCAAGGCGCAGCACGCAACTTCAGCGCTCGCACCTGCGTCTTGTAGGTGTTGATTGCCTTGCGGTACGCCTCCTTGAACTTGGAGCGGCGCTTGTCTGCTTTGGCAGCCATCTGTCAAGAACCCGAGAAGAAAATACTCGTGATGGATGACACAGTAGCTGAATCAACTGACCCAACAGGGACACGGCACAAAGGGGCATGCCCGAGAGCAGAGCACATACCGCGCCCGTGCAGGCGAATGTGCGCACGCGCTCCGTCAGTTGGAGGATAAACTAGAAAGGTCAACAAACAGACGGCCAAGTCAGGGGCCCAAGTTGGCGGATCTGTCAAAGCATACTTATTCTTGTTCCGTATCATGCCCAATGTCACTGTGTCGTTCCATCCCACCCCTCATCCCACTGCGCCTGCTAGCCACGCACCGGCACGAGCTTGCTTTCCAGATTAGCATCGTCGTAGGGCAGCTTGAGACTAAGAGAGATCACCTGTGGTGTTGCGAGGGGTGAGTGAAAAAGTTATCCCACAGAAACATCTTCAACTCTTCAAATTCAAGCGATGTGTAGGAAATAGCAAAGGGGGTTGGCCACGAAAAAAAAACCCCCCCTAACCTGACGAGCTTCGGGCATGACGGCGTCCTCAGGAGCTGTGTTGCTGTCAAAGGACGGGGGCTCCAGCATCTTCACGCCGTACCACTGGTCTGAAACATGAATAGCATTGATCATGGGCTGTGTTCCCACCGCGAGGGGTGGGCACAAGCAGGTCCGAGTGAAGAAGCGGCAACACTAAAGAAGCGTGTGGTTGTGGGTGTGGCTGCATTGCTGCAAGACTGCTGGTCTGGGCTCACCTTGAGACTCTGGATGGCATCCAAGAGCTCCTTGGTCAAAAAAGCCGCACCAAGCTCAGGAGACTCGGTCAAGACATCCAAGCCGCTGGGCACCCCCCTGATATCGACCATCTGCGCCACCGGGTGTGAGTTGCTGAGAAAAAAAAAACCTCGAAGCGCCCAAAGAACAATCACAGCCTTGCAAAACCACCCAAAAAGGTGCGAACCGAGGTAAAGAATTTGCTGTCTTCATGCTCAGCCATGCGGCGCAGGGCCGCGGGAGTGCCGACAGTCAGCACCAGCGGCGCAGGCTCGGGGCAGCGCAGGTCTATTGGATTGGAGGTGGATGGACAATCAATAAGGACGGGGAGAGCAGCAGCGCGGAACTTCAGGCCTTGTCACGTCACTCGACGGAGCCTGAGAAGAGAGCGAGAGTGATGGCGGCACCTGCACCCGACATCAGACGAGCACTTGTGTTGAACACGTACCAACAGTGACGTTGATGGCGTCCTCGACGTGCGTGAAGAGTTCAATGAGGTAACCAATGGCATCTTGTCGGCGAAGCAAGTCAATGGAGATGTTGCAGCTACGTAGTAGGCACACAGAGGCGACGAATATCATGCCAATCAAAGAGGCATGGATTGATGAGAATTCGGTCGGACCGCCAGGGACATCTTGGCGGCTATTGGACGTACCGAACAACATCTGTGCGCCCAGTACCATAGAGAACGTATTCGTTGTTGCTCTCACAGATGAGCTCCTACGAGGGGCGATATGAGTGAGGAAGAAAGAAAAAAAAAAGAGAGGAAAGCAGTGGTGGGTTCTGGCATCTCAAGTTGCGCTAAAGTTGAAACCACGCACGTCACCCTGATCACCAACAGCACCAAAGGCTTCGCGCATGGCCACAATGTTGCGCTCGGCACTGCCAAGACCGACAAGTGGCAAGCGCAATGGGGTGACGGATGAGTATACGCCGCATGACAATGACTACGTGTTGTTGAAGCGAGACGGGGCCATGTGCCGTGGCTTGGCGTAGACACACATTCGTGTGGCAATTTTCTTGTTGACCATGGTGCCGTAGACGTAGTTGACCATGTAAATGAGGAGGAGGGCGACGAGCGTGACCTCGAGCGGAAACTTTTGCACGAGGACAGGAAAGGAGGTAATCTGGTGGTGACGCGATGGAAGCGCAAACGAGGAGCGTGTGAGGGGAAGGCGTGAGAAAGTGTCAATGTCCGTGCCCAGGAGGATGACAATGTATCTGGGGGACGAAGGGATGGAGCACAACGAGCAGCGCACGCACGGGTGCGGCGGGCTCGGCAGGTGCGGGAGGCGTTGGTGCGGCTTGTGGTTGGGGAATGGGTGCCGCAGGCTGGCTCTCTGGTGTTGCCTATTTCATCAAGAACGGTCAGCGCATCCAAAGCGCCGTGACGTGAGATGGTAGTCAGCCATGGGCAGTGCTGCAAGTCGCGTGCACTTTGGGCAAGCCGCACCTGGGCCACATCAAACTCGTCATCGGCGACATCAGCGTCAGCGCGCACGCCCGACCAGCTGCCAAGCAGCAAAAGACCCAGAGCCAGGCCCAGGAACATGGCGTTACGCCCTTGCATCATCCCGGCGATTCCAATGATCCTCGTCCTCGGTGTTTCCTTGGCACGCTCGTCCGCGTTCTCGCTGCTTTCGCCGTGCACTGAACCAGAAGCACACACACACACACACACACACACACACGCGGCCAAAACTGCCACACACACACACACACACTCTCTCTCTCTCTCTCTCTCTCTTATCTCTCTCTCTCTCTCTCGCTCGTGTGTGAAAGTGTGCTCAAAGCTACAGATTTAAACCAGGTAATGTCAGACAAGTTGGGTTTATTTTATAGTTTGTGTTGTGGGTGTGCTCGCTGCGATTGTGTGATAAACTTCACACTGAGAGGACGGTCATGTTCTTGGGGAACGTCCCTTCCACTCCAACTCTCTCTTGATAGGATTGATTCATCAACAATGTGAATCGCGTGAAAGGAGCTGCAAGCGATACGCGGCGGGGCCATGTGATCGATGAGGTTTGGCGCGATCTCTAACACGTACTGCGCTCCTGCGTCCTTCAACAGAGTCCTCAAAATGGCAAGAAACCTCCTGCATGCGCGCTGGGCTTGATGCGCTTGATGGCGCGATCGCGCTCAATTGCAACCCTACGGTGCCTCCTGATGATGGCGAATCATCAGCTTTGGATAGGCCACTCGGTTTGGCCATGTCCACACCATCAACGATAGCCAAGCACTATTCACGAGCAAGCGACACAGTTGACACATACGCGCGCACACACACAAGAAGGCCGCAGAGGAAGCGCACCGTCAAGCACTGGCTCGACCAGGGCGATCGGCGGCGCTTGTGAGCTTGCACTTGATTCGGCATCCTTGAGAGGCTGGGGTCGCAACAATGCGATCGTCAGCTGTTGGTCAGCAGTCGGTCCTTGCAGCCCGAGCCCAGCGCAATCGGCCACATCTTGCTTCACGCCATGAGTCGGATTGAGAAATGGTGAGACAAGCTTTCGCGGGCCTGGCCTGACCTGCAAGGTAGGGGTCGGCTCGAGCGTCTGTGATCTTGCTGTCCGCTTTTTTTTTTTGCAGAACAAGTGGAAGGATGGTCGTTCGCACGTGAACAAGACTGCCCTGTGTCTGCAGGGCGACGAGTGCCAAACACGGGCCGGTGTTCACGACCACGACTACTACAACGCCAGGGCATGCCGCCATACCAAATTCTAAACCCAGGCTGCTCCTTTCAGAAGTGCCTGCTTCTGTGCCCTGCACATCATCACTACCGTCATCACCGACCCCTCTTACCAGCGCGAACGGGCAAGACAAAAAAAAAAAAAAAAAAAAAAAAAAAAGACAAAACGCGACGTACTTGGGGAACAAAGGATTTGGATAACTTGTTCTGGGACCATAAACACAACCCCACCACCCACCCCCGCCCTTCGAAGGAATCTGCGTGCCCTTCCCCTTTGTTCGAGGGGAGTAAGTGCGCCAAGCAAGTCGGCGAGTCGGGACTGCTTTTCCCACAGAAAGGTTTTCAAAGCGTTCCTTATACGACTCGTTCTCCCTCACACAACAAGATTGAACGATGATGAAACGACAAAGTCGGGGCCTGATGCAGGCGTCCCGGAAGCTCGTCACGCACAATGGATCGTCAAGAAAGTGTGGTTGTGAATTGTCTCATCCATTGACGTGAAAGCACCATCAGTCCCTAAGAAGGGGGTACTCAAGGGGGCAGCTTCAGAAGAGATTTGGACGGTTGAACAGCAGGGCATGCCGTGTGAGCTGTGTGAATGATCAAGCGCCCTCACGACTGATGGTAGGTAGGCAAGATGCTTTCAGAAGCTACGGGAGCAAGCCAGCAGCCACACACCTCCGCCAGCCGGGCCTGTTGACAATGTCCATGCTTATACATTGCAATGGTGGCGATGGCGCTACCGTATGGCCTGATGTGGCAGCGCCGGTGTGAGTTGTCCTTTCAAAGCCGTTGTTGTGAACCGTTTTCCATATGCGCGGTGGGTGGTATGAACCGTCATGGGAAGTGTTTGACTCAGTCCCATACTCAAAGGGCCGGCCCCTCAGGGAAAAGCCAAGACACCAGCTCTGGGTTTCAGACAGGGCTCCCGTCTGTGGGTTTGTGGGTGCTTTCGTGCTCACATGTGAGACTGAGTATGTGCGGGTCTGGGGTAGACTGTAGGTAGGTGGTGGATATGATGGATAATTTTGACGGTCTCGTCATTTTCTTTTTTCTGGTGGTGTAACTGCTCGACGTCGTCTTTTCCACCGGCCGGCTGGGCGCCCGGTGACGCACGGTGCTCCTTCTCCGCTGCTTGCGCAGCGCTTAGACCTGGCGCTGTCTACTGCCTTTCTCTTCTTTCCTTTGCTTTTTGATTGAGGTGGCTGCCATATGGTCTCGGTCAAGACTCTGCTGCTTTACCCCGATGCATGGCAACAGACACACGTGAGGCATACGTAACTACGCAATCGCCTGACAGTTTTGACACCGCCATCCCCACGCCCGCGCCTTCGCCCTGCGCCCCATTGAACATCATTGGCATCCATGCGCTTTCCTTCGATATTTTTAATCTCTCTTGTTTTTCTTTACTCGCCAGCGACCTTTTTTTCTGGTCCCTTCCTTGGTTCTCCGCCATCTCCTCAGTTGCAACGGCTTATCGTGCAACAAGCCTGTTCTTCTTTCTATCTCTCGCTCTCGCTCTCTCTCTCTCTCTCTCTCTCTCGCGCGCGCGCACGCGCGCTCTTGTTGCCGCATGACCCGGCTTCAAGTCGGTCGCCTTCTCCAGCGGCATCAAGTTTCTGCGAACCAGTAGCCTCAAACGCGCCTTTGGAAAGGCAAAGTTGGTGAGAAGCACCTCCCTTGACCTGCGTGTGTCTGTGCGTTTGCTCGTGTGCTCGTGTGTGGTAACGTATTCATTTTTGTTCCTTGCTGCCTCATTTCTGACTGGTTGAACAATCAAACAAGCCTGCCAGCGACGGCTCTATCGATCCAGCTTGAGCGATGGCCGAAGACCCACCACTCGCAGCACTCGGCTCCCAACACCTCACCTCCGCCTCCTTGGCTGAGGACCTGCTGAACGAAGGTGACGACGAAGAAGCAGAAGCAGTGGACGACGACTACGACAACGAGGAAGAGGAGGATCCAAGAACCGCCTTGCGCATCTCACAGCTCCAGGGTATGCGCGAACATAATTGCTTGAGCGATCTGATCGGGTATCCGGCTTTCCCAATCTTGTCAACATCTTTGTTGCGGGACAGGGTGCCTTGGTCTTTTCAGTTTCCTGAAAAGACCAGCTTTTTTTCGCTCAGCTCTTGCAGGTGCTGGGCAAATGTTACTTTCTCACCATTGGCTCGACTTCCTTGCCTGCTTGCTTGTGGTCTAGCCCATGTCGCGTTCCTCGAAGCCCAACAGGCTCGTTTTATGCAAGTGGCGCTGGCGCTGGCCACCGACCCTGATGTGCAGGAACGCGTATTTCAAAACTTGGCCCTTGTGAGCGCGGGCACCATTGACTGTGAGCAGTCTGCTGCTGTTCCAATGAGTCCGCAGGAGGACCTGTACCAGGCGGACATCAGCGACGACGACCTGTGCTGCTCCCCTTTCACGCTCAGCCAGTCTTCCGTGGCTGAGGCTGATGCAGGGGCACCTGGCCTGCTTCCGGGTGGCGTCCTGGAGGAGCTTGCGGCTCGCGGCGTGCACGATCTCATGAATTCAGGAGCGCCCCTCTGAGATGACAAGCGAGCACGCGCGTCGGCCTCCTTACCCTAAGCTGCCCTTGGCGGGCCTTTGGGAGCCCAACCTTTGAGCTCGGTTTGCCTTCCCCAATATCACCATCACTAGAACAACCATCATCTTTTCTCTTGGCCTCCTTTCTTCTTGGCCATGCTGGCGCTCTTTTTGATTTGTTTCATTGGCGTGAGAGTACAAAGCCAAGAGAAGTGTTGGTGCCTGTTTTTGATGCCTTTGTGTTACTGTCAAGTCATGACCGGGATCTTGACTGCTGTGTTTGTGTCGCTATGTGACGTATGTGGCGCACTTGGACTGAAGTGTGCATGTGGATGTGTGTGAAGGAGTTTGACTTGTTTTATGATCCTGTGTCGGATGCACTCCTGTTCAAGCGGAGCGAGACTCGCAGTGCGAGTTAATTCGAAAGCCCCACCTCTTCCCTTCTCTCCCTCTCTCCCCGCACTGATCCACGAATACTTGGCGACCCCGAGCTCTTCCGAGTGGACAAACGATCAGCGCGTCATACCATTTTGAGCTGGATCTGGTGGCCTCGAGGCTTCCTCAGCAAAAAGGTGTCCTTGCACACTTTGGCGTTCGGATCGGTCAAGCGATTCCTGCACCACGAGTGACACGTACGCTTGTGCCTTGATGCACTTGTTCATGAGCGCCTTTGCGTCCTCGTCATACAAGAAAACCATGCAATCATTATGCGACGACCCCCCAAAATTGATGATGATGATACATGTACAAAAAGTTCGATGAGTGGCATTGAAATGGATGCAGAAAGAAAAGCAAAGACACTTGGCCGCATGCATCCCGAGTGTTGGCTGCGGACCAGTTTTGTCTAATCCCTCCCCATTTTCCAACCCCCCTCCCGCGCCCTCCCCCACCCCCAAAAAAAATAACACCTGTGATGCAACCCGCCCAAGTTCCCACTCGCCGGCCCCCAACCTCAACTCCGAACGACCCAAAAAGAGCTAAATCTCGTTAATTCCTTTGAATTCACATCCTCACCTACCAAGAGCTTCAAAGGGCCTTCAAAGGGCTATCCAAGGGACTGACAAACATCAACTGTGGCAGTTGTTTCCTTCATCGACCCCCCTAACCCACAGAGTTGCCCCATACCTTGACTCGAGCCATACGAGCCATCATACACACGTCACCCAGTTGTTGGACCTGCCACCTGTCTTGCTCACGGTTCCGTCCAAAGGTCCATATTTGCGTCATGAGCCCGCTGAATTCCACAGCATTTGTCTCACGCAAAACCAAACCATACCCCCAACCCAACCCCTAACCCACGCCAAAAGCCATCCATGACTACGTCAGGTTGCTCCAGTTAAGCCGGACAAATTAACGCCTGGCCCCAACTTGGGGTGCTTGCCATACCACAACTGCGTGCCTGACTCCACTTCATGTCGAACGTTCATCGCGCACGCCCGCTCGCTCGGCGCCACTACCTCCTCCATTGTTCTACTTGCTACATTTTCTTTGGTCCCCTGCCGCTCTGCCCGCGCTTGCGCGCCCCAAGCCCTTGTTGTCGCTCTGCCTTGAGTGGTGGTGGTACCTCTGGCGCCCCCGCGCACCGCGCACAGTCGCTAGGCTCGCGCACCAACTGTCGCCCTCTCTCGCCGCGCGCTTTCTCGCCCTGCCTTGCCCCTGACCCTGAATGCCATCTCTTGACTGCCCCACTACCCTCATCACCTGGCAGTCGCCAACTTCACTCGTCTTGGTACGTCTTCATCCCAACACCAAGATACACTGTGCGAGGTGGCCCTCTTTTGTGCAAAGGATGTGTGTAGGCTTCAGGGAGCATCATCAACATTGCCGAGCCAACTTCCTCTCTCTCTCTCTCTCTCTCTCTCTCTCTCTCTCCACACTCTCGTCACCCCATCTCTCCCCGCCGCTGCACTCGACTGCTCGCCACAAGCAACATGAAGCGACAATTCTTAGCCGGTAACAAATCCACGACAAAGCAGAGGCAGACTGGCCAGCCCCAGCAGCCCGCTCGCCGTCGCCGCCATCATCCCCCGGGCGGGCAACCCAACGTGCAAGCCGAGCAAGTCGGAGGCATCAGTGACGTTGATGATGAACCCTCAGAACTGCTGTCCCGCCCTGGACAGGACCAGGCATCCCCGCTATCTGCCGCGGATTCAACAAGCCCGCAACCTGCACATTCCTGTGTCTGTCCAACCTGCCAGCAAGTCTTTGGTCGTCGAGCCCATCTCAAACGTATGGCTCCCTGCCCTCCCTGCCCTCCCTGCCCTCTTTTGCCACCCTGACTCGTTTTGCACTTGCTTTACCGTGTTTATGCCACACAATCCGCTGCCGTGACTCGACTCACCTTGACTTGCCGTGCCGTCTCGTCTTCCCATCTGCCTGTCCACCCCGTTGGGTTGCACCATCCCGCCCCTGTGGCACTCGAAAATCCTTGGCCTCGTCCCATGATGATGACTCGCAAACGTTAGGACACATGGACACCGTGCACAGTCAAGAGCGACGGCACGTTTGCAAAGATTGTGACCGCACCTTTCAGCGACGAGACCACCTTGATAAGCACCAACGACAAAACTGTGGCAAACAACCAACCAAAAAGCCCAAGCGTCTACCCAAGCGTTCCAAGCAGCCTGATGACGAGCCACCCACGCACACCGCTCCACTCCCCGCCCAGCCTCAACTGTTTTCGGACACACATGCGCATGTAGCACATGATCTGGACCAGACAAGCGCCAGCGCCCCAGCAGAACCTGTTACCGTGGTGGTTTCAGAAGAAACCCAGGCCATGCTCGACGTCCTCAACGGTACGGACCTGAGCAACCTGCTCTCCTCATTGAGCAGCTCCTATGATTCGAGCGGCAGATCCACATCGCCCTCTCTTCCCAACTCTGACCGCATCCATCCTGGGATGGAAAGCCAAGGCGAAACCGCTTTGCTTTTGCGTGACAATCCCCTCTCCGGGGACATCTATTCGCAATCAAGCTTCCTCACAGAATGGTTCGAGCGACTCAATGAAGCGAAATCCAACCACCCAGTCGAGCCAGCTTCAAGTGAGAGCCAGCGCCTTGGCAATTTGCCCCGACGTGCCGCCTCACACCAGGAGGCGACAAATGCGCCTACACTGCGACAACAAGTTCCAAACAGCCCCCATTCTTCACAGCAGCTCCCTTTCCAGGCCCTTCGCGGTAAGCCAGGCTACCCAACGCCCTGTTGTTCTTTCCTCTCTCTCTCTCTCTCTCTCTCTCTCTCTCTCTCTCTCTCTCTCTCTCTCTCTCTCTCTCTCTCTCTCTCTCTCTCTC